TCCTGGTTTTTTTCTTTTCAAATCACAGTAGGAAAACACAACAGAAAACACCACAAGGCCTCCCTCACCCTTCAGAAGTGCCACTGAAAGCTGGTCTGTGTTCAGGTTATTGACATATTTGCCCAAGTAGGTGTTGAGGACCCAGGCTACCAATCCTTCCAACATGACTGTCCTGGAAGAGGGCAGCTAATGGTTTGCTGTCATTTTCTGGATTTCTGTTCCATAATTAGTCTCGCTCTGAAAGAAAAAAAAAAAAACAAGAAGAAAATTAGTGTCTGAAATATCCACTCTCAGCAGAGCTGGCATACCACTGTAATTCTTACTGTGATCTATCTAAAGAGAAGTAAAAGAGAAGTAAAATCAACTGAGGTTGATTTCTACCTTTAAGATGCTTTATCCTGAGCGCTTTAAGTGTCAAACCAGTTTCACACAGAGCTCTGGCGATCACACCAGGATTCCTCCCATTTGCACATTCAGTTCATCTTTCCACCCTTTCTTCCTAACCAAACCACCACATTTTGTTGCAACAACCGGCAAGGCCAATCCACAATCCTCTTCCAGAAAAGGGAAGGCTAAAATTCCACGTGGATCTGAAGCAGTTTTGCAGCGGCCTCCTCGGCCTCTGGTGCCAGCATTGCCTTCATGCTGGGCTTGGCACAGCCTGCTCTGAAGCAACAGCCTGGAGCCTCTGACTGTATTTCTGTAGAATTCCTACACGGCATCTGTGAAGCAACTCCCCAAACCCCTTTTTGGGAGAGCCTGTGTGTGTGGGAAGTAACCAGATCCAAGCCCCATAAATAGCTCATCAACAGTTACTCCCAGCAGGTTTCCAAAGTGACAGCAGAGATTCTTGCACCGGGGAGGGGAGAAGCTACATCAGGGCAGCCCCACTGGTCAGCATTTCCCATCACACTCTTCTCCAGACATTTCTGTTTCTACCTGTGTGGCAATCAGGGCATTAAGATCCCAAAGCCCCTGTCCAAGTTTTTAACCAGGGAATTGCAAAAGAGCTTCTTTGAGCTCCTGCAAGGGCAGGATGGAGCTTGGCACAGTAAGGAAAAAAGCGTGCAGGCCATTTCTTGAGGTTAGAATGGAGTAAATGTATCAATTTTGTGCTTAAAAAACCCTCTCCCAATCCCCCAGACCTCCCTAAACCACGGAGTTCTACAGAGCAGAGAAGCAAGATACATAATTTATTTACATCTGGCAACAGAAGGAAACGACAACTTCAAGAGTCACATTTTAAATTTCACATCAGGATTTAAGGTTTCCCCACGAGGAGGCTCGCTGGCTTTTAGGCCCCCCCATTAAAGCCTTTATTTCTTTTTTAAAAAGCCAGTGAAAATACTTAACTGAGAGTTAAAGAAAATAACCAGAACTAAGCAAACAATGAAAGGCTTTTCCTAATGGCTGAAAGTGAAACCACGTTGTCCTGCAAAGTGAAAGAGAAAATAGCACAGGGAAGTTTGATTTTGACTGTGTCAGAGCTTCATGTTACAGGTGTTTAACGTTTTTATCTATGAAAAATATCTCAACAGTTTTAAAACACAATAGTATTATTCCACATAACATTCTTACTCTCAGGCCACAAGCTTATATTTTTTTATTCTAATAAAAGGGTTTTATTCTAATAGAAGTGACAAGAAAGCTGAAGATGGAACAAAAGCAAATACAGTCACCCTTGTCATATCGCCACTAAAAAAAGAAGCCAATAAAAAAGAAATCTACAGGTGTTTGAAACCAAAGCAGAGGAAAGATGCTGAAGGAACAGAGATCAGCACCCAGGGGCTGAAATCCTCCAGTGCATGAATAGTTCTATGCCTGAAGTCACCCTGAAAACTGTAAATGAAGTAAATCACCTCCTTAACCTGAACTCACAGGACATAAGTAACCATACAGGAATCGCCCCAATGTTTTAAGGCTTCTGCATTTGTAAAATATGTTAAAAATGGCACTGCTGTGCCACTGGCGGAGAAAAGCAAGACATCTCTTGTCTGTGACTGTTTTAATTTCCTTACCCCACACACACACACAGAGCACAGCAGGGACCAAAGCCCGAACCAGGCCGTGGCTCAGCTGGGGCTCCTTTTCGCTGGGAAAAGCAGCGATTTTCCCCCCGGGGGAGCAGCAGGAAGGGCCGCGGGGACAGGGGAGGAAAAAAGGGGGCTCTGCCAGAACCCACCCAAAGCCCGGGCGGGCCGGACCAGCGCCGGGGACACCCCGGAGGAGCCCCACGTGCCCGCGGGGAAGCCAAAGGTCACCTTGCCCCGGGGAGCCGCAGGGACCCCGGGGTGTCCCCCTGAGGCGGAGAACGAAGAGGCCGTGGGGGAGGCCCTGAGAGACCTCCCCACCCTCAGGCCACGCCGCGCCGCGGGGCTGAAACCCCCCCATCCCCCCAAAGGCGCTGCCCCGGGGTGGGCGCCGACCCCGTCCCCGGCGCGGCCGCCCCTCGCCCACCCTCCCGCGGGCGGGGCGGGGCGTGCGGCAGGGAGGGGCCCCCCGGGCCGGCAGCGGCTGCTGACGCAGGAGGGAAGGGGCAGCGGCGCTGGCTGTGTGTGTGTGTGCAGGGGGGGAAAAGGATCCCCCATGTCCTCTCCGTGTCCCCCCGCTCGGTCTCCTCGTTCCCCCCCCCGTGTCCCCCCGGACCCACCTGCGCTCCGGGCGGGGGGCGGCGGGCGCGCGCCGGGCGGTCGCGGGGGCGCGCCCGGGCTGCGGGAGCGCCGAGCGATCGATTGGGGTGCCGGGAACGCCCCCCGCCGCCACCGCTGGGCGGGGCCCGGCGAAGGAGGGCGGAGCTCGGTACCGCCCCCTGGCGGGCGGGGCGGGGCCAAGCTCCCCTCACGGCCCCGCGCGGGAAAATGGGCTGAAAACAGCCCGGTTTGGGCCCGAAAACAGCCCGGTTTGGGGCTGAAAAGTCTCAAATATGTCATTTCTCCCGCCTGCGCAGAGGGACCAGAAATGGGTGTTAACTACAGTTTGGTTTTTTTTTTTTTTTAATCTTTTTTTACCCAAGCTGAAGAAAGTTCGTCTCCACGCGGCTCGTCCAAGTCCACACGGTCAGGACCGGCTGGTGTTTTAAACACAAATAAATTTCAAACCCTTCGAGGCGTTGGCCTGCAAGGCTCACCATTGCTTCTGAGTAAAACGCCATCACAATGTTTGATTACTTAAATAATAACAAAACACAGTGGTGTGTTAATAAAGAGCTCAGGAAACCTGAAAATACACATATTTATAAAAATCCATAGTTTTGCTTTTGGGGTCTTTTTGCATTTTATAAGCAAACTCAAGCTCATTTTTCCCCATTTCAGTGTAATTTCCCTTCTGTCAAGCAGCTCCTTAATTTGAAAACCCTGTCAATTAACTGCTGTAACAAGATCCTCCTTTTTAATGTTTTTAAAACAAACATCTCCAGCGCTTCACTGTGGCCCCAATACTGGAAGCCAACAAAAAATTAGGCTGAAAATATCACAGCGCAAGAGGTTCACACTGCTGGATAAAATAAGGTTATTTTCTTGCCTACATCCTTCAGTTTTGTTGATAATTTCAGAGTGCCCATTTCCAAAGTCTTCCTTGAAAATTACCTTCAAGTGCAAGTTTAAGATAGAGTTGTAAAAGTTGTAAAAGGCTTCATTGTAGTAGAACTGTGGACCTGTTTGTGAGTTCTCAGTTCCAGAAATGAGTAACCTCAGAGCTTTTGTGGGAGTTTAAAATTTATACATGAAGTTTAACATTTGTATTTTCCATTATTATTTATAATGGAAGTTTAACATTTGTATTTTCCAAATCTGAATCCTCTTCTGCAGCGGTAGAAAAAAAATGCTATTCCCAGACATCCTTTTTCACTCTAAGGCCTCAGAAATAATCACTGTTATTTTACTATCTAATTAACTATTAGATATATAACTAACTGTTATCTAATTCCAGAGGTAGAATAAGAGAATCCAGTTGGAAGCACAGGGATCCTTCATTCCAACAGTGGGTTTATGGCACGGAAGACAAGAGCTGTGCCCACTGATGACTTCCCTGTGGTGTGACTCAGGCACTGGGTCGCAGATGCTGGTTGAACACAGCCAGCACAACTGTCAGTTAAGTCACAGGCTGTAAAATATAATTATGGGAAGTGGGTTCCTAAAGGCTGGCCTCCAAACCCAAGGCCTGGTTCAAGAAGAACCCCCGCTAATTTTCTGCCAGAGGTGGTTGCAGCCTCAGCGTCATCAAGCAGCGAAGTGGAACAGGATTTTCAGGTTCTGAGGTTTGAATCCACCCCATTTATTACAGATGATGCTGTGACATCATCAGGAGACCTTTTCCTGAGGGCAGTGGGCAGGAGCTGTCTGGAAAGATAATCACATGGATCTGCTCTAATATTCACTGGAACACAGGGAAAATATTTTGGGTTTATGGTTAACCTCAACAATGAGGTCAGAATCGATCAGGGAACATGTTACATCAGCCAGGACACAAGGTGACACACTCTAGAGCTGCCAGTAAAAGGAACTTACTTCTACACCAAGATAACAACATCTCATTTTTCTCTTCTAAAACAAAATGAACTTTGTACAGTCAATGAAATGCTGTTGTTTAGACATAATAGTTGAAATTTAGTAAAAAAAAACTCGTGTAAAATATTTCACTTCTTGATATCCTATGTGTACTTACACTGGAGAAATTTGGCTTGATAGGGAGCAAAAGCAAATTGTAATAATAAAAGAAATATCCAGGAGGATGAGGGAAAGTATGTCCATGAAGATCTGGGATAGGAAATGGAATGCAATAGTTTTAAATTAAAATCAAATGGATAATTCCTGAGCATTGACTGAATGATAATTTAACTTCAGTCTCTTAGAAGTGCTGGTCACAGGAATGTTCTGAACCCAAACTGTCATCTCAAGAACTCTCAGGTGAAAAATTAATGGCATAAAATTAGAAAAATGTTCCTTTTCCAATCTGGTAAAGGTCTTTCTAGGGTATCAAAGAAGAAAGGGAAGAACTGGCCATTCAGTTTAAAAGAAAAAGCATTCAGATTTTTAAACTGCAAAGATCTTCCTTCAGCTCTCAAAGCTTAAAAACTGCTAAAGCATCAGTGTCTATATTTGTCTGAGATTTCAAGTCTCTGGAGGAATGCTACATTTGCCATAACATTTGTTTTAGAAGACATTAGAAAATGGTTAATTTTATCAGTCTGTCAGTGTATGATCTGTAATTTCCTTTAACTGGTTTTCATCCCAGCATCTTGAATACCCAGAGGAACCTTCTTTTCTTCTGGAAGTAAGTCTTGAAGTAAATGGTCCTCATTTTCCACCGAGATGGGAACTTCAGTTTCACTTTTCGAGGGATTTTCTTCTTTTGAAAGGGGAGTTTCCTCCCCTGCTGGGGAATAACAGGGAGTGTTTCCATAATCCATCTGCTCTGGGCACTGGGAACTGCAGTCTGGGCTACAGACTTTGACAATACAGGTCACATTCACCTGCCTTCCTCCATTACCAGAATGTTCTGTCAAATAAACACAAAACACATTAAACGTGGAAGAATGAAACCCAGAATGGGACAGCTGGATTCTTTATCCACTTCTCTGACTTACAGTTAGGATAGACATTAAATATCTTCTCGCTCCCCTTAGTTTGGTCAAGCTGGTGGATTTGATTCTGTAAATTTTAGTGGGTTTTTATGGTGCCATAAAACCCACATCACCTCAGAAATAAAAAGGCTACAAAAATCAACGCAGAGCCCTGGGTCACAAACAATTCCCTGCCCATCTGTTGCCATTTCAGATGGGTTTGACAATGTTTCCTTACTGCTCCCTCTGAACAGGGGTCTCACATTTTATCCTGCCATTTAAACTGCTAAAAAGGCTCATAATTGGTAATCCAATCTCAAGAGGTTCTGGATCATTCAGAACCGTTCCTACCTGAACTCACAGAGCTGTGTCTGTCTCCAGTGTGGAGTTTAGAACCTGCTGCAGGTGGATGTCGCTGCTGAAATCCTTCTGGTTTTCTCTTTTCATCATTCTTTTCACTTTCTACACTGATTCTTGCAGTTGGATTATTCAGGTTGCCACTGCTGGACCCAGAAGTTCCCAAGAGATGCTGCTGCTCCTGTTCAGAGCTGCTGCAGTTCTGCAATCCTGTGTCTCTCACTTTTTTGTCACACCGTTTTTCCGGGAGGGGAAAAGGCTGGAACATTTGCAGAGAAATGCAAAAAATTAATATTTATAAAACCCCAAGACACAAACAGAGAAGTCAGTCCTTAGGCAGCTAAAGAAACCACTGATGACTGGAACTAGATGAGTTTAAGGTCCCTTCCAACCCAAACCATTCCATGGTAATTTCTATTTGCATAGCAATGACTTCAAGTCAATTCATATCAGCTCATGAGGGGTCCAACAGAATGAACCTGTCTCCTGAAGGCACCCACAGCACTACACTGATTGTCTAGACAACAAAGGCTCTAAAATCTGTTTTCCTGCCCCCACCTGTGTTTTACTGGTAATAAAGTAAGGAGGGTGTATTATGTGGGCTACGTAAAGTGCATTTTACACCCTGGCTTGGGGACCAAACCACCCCATTCTCACTCCAGTTGTCTTTCTGCTGTGTGGTTTTTTTCTACTTGAAATAAAATAAGACTGCATGATTTCTGTACAACTTTTAAAGAGGTGGAAGGGATGGAAAGGATGGTGGCACTCACCAAATCTGCCTCTGTAGCTGGTGCAGAGAACAGAGGGGCTGCAAGTGAGCAAAGAAATTCATTAGCACCCAAACCTGCTGCAAAAGCTGCACTCTGAACTAGTCTGAGGGATATCCTCTGATCCTGGAGTAAACTCCTGATGTACCTTTACACACAGCTTGAAAATGTTGAAAGCTGTATTGTATTAGTTTTGTACGGTGATTTAAATTTAGCCAGCAAGCAAAGAGGAGCCTCTGCATGGATTCCTAATTTTTACAGATTAGTGGGAAATAAGCTGACACTTTTTCCAGTGTTTACAGATTTACTTGTTTTCACTTCGTGAATCTTACCTTTTTTGTTAGTGACTAAGCAATAACCCAAAACAGCAATTATCAGGACCAGTAACAATGGTCCTGCTACTGCTCCTGAAAATAAATAAAAAAAGAGGAATTATTTAGCAGGTTGATCTGACAAAGTAGAAAAAGGTAGTCTTGTAGCTTCTGTCCATGGGTATAAAAGCTAAATTCACAAGTATCAGATGTGTCTGACATTCACATTTGATGCCTCTACCATCAGATACCAGAGTTTGTTAAATACAGGCCATGCAGCCCAAAATGCTCTTTAACATCTCTGCCCTGTGGATGTGCTGTGAACAGGAGAGAACAGATCTCCACTTGGGAATCCTGTCTGGGGAAAGGCTCCAAAGAGCTCTCACCACGAGCTTTATCAAGTCAGGTTTGCCTCAGTCCAGAATCTAAGATGCAACTTTCTAACCAGCTACAGCAGCACTTCTCAGGAAATGCCTTCTGTTAAATTGCTTGGGGATTTTTAGAAATATTTCCAGAATTCCAAGGTCTGTAGTGCAGATGCAGAGGTAAAAATGCAGCTCACTACAAGCAGTGTCATATTGAATTCATTCAGCTCTTCTGAGGTTCTGTTTGGCTACAGGTAATTGGTTTCACAAAGAAACAGAGAACTAAATATAAACTTGGTTCCTGGGCAGACAGAAGTGACTTTAAATGAGTTAAAGCTCACCAATGGTGGCAGACAGGTCAGGCACAGGGTTTACCATGGTGGGTCGAGTGATTATTTCAGGTCTGTGGGGAGCTGAGCTTTGGGTCAGGAGCAGGTTCAGGATGGTGTGAGGCAGAACCGTGGCTGTTCCTGAGTCGCTGCAAACAGTGTCATTCCTGCTGTTCCCAGGAACAGCCACTGCTTTACAGCTGCAAGGAACAGAAGGAGAAGGTCGGAAAGGCGGCCCCCCCGTGCCCAGGTGAGGCTGCTGATGGACACAAACGCTGGCTTACACTGTGTGGGGGGTACAGCTGGTGTCGTAGGATTCCTCAGGGGAGAAAGTGCCAGGAGGACAAGGTTTGCACTCTGTGTCTGTGCTGTCTGTCCCTTCACACACAAAGAGGAAAACTCCAGTTAGTCTGGTGAGACACGAGAATGAATAATTGAGGGCTGGGGAGATCCTGCCAGTGGCACAGAGGCAGTGAATAAAATACAGCCTGGAACTGCCACAGGGGAGATTCACTTGAAGCACCCAACCCAAGCACACTTTAGAAGATTAACCAGCTGTTAGTTTGGTGACTCTGGCAGTCAATCTTTTTCAAAGTCCAAAACCCCACCAATAGTTCAAATGTGGTGCTGCAGACAAAGCTGAGCTTCTTCACTGGTCCCTGACAGACTGACCCCCTGCTCCTGGAGTTCTGCATCTTCTCAAATGAACCCCAATTTCTTGAAAATATTCGGTATTTTGAATTTCTGAATATTATTTATCATCTTGAGACAGATATATTATCAGAGTGGTGAACTCCATCAGTTAAAAAACCAGATCAATTCTGCAGGACAGCATGGAGTCATCATTATTTACTGTACCCCAAACTCCCACCTAAAGCATTGTGTTTCAAGGATTTAAGGAGGAATTAAGTGATCTTGAACCTCAGTCACTTCTACAGAATAAATCACACAGTAGAGCAAAACAAAGGAAGATTAAGTTGGATCAGGAACTCTATGATACATGGCAGTAACAGACTGCAGCATGTTGTCCCCTTGGATGTACCTCTGGAGAATATTGTCACTCTGGTTAGTGCCTACTTGCTAAGGATGTAAAAAAAAAAATCCAAACCACTAAAAAGAGTGTCTAATTGTAGGGAACTAGGGTAGAGTAAGAGTTCAGTAGTCAGAGTGTTCAAAATTAAAAGTTACCTCTTCTGGAAACTCGGTACCCTTTGCCACATTTCTTGTGCACTCTGCATGCTCTGCAGTACTCCTGTATTTTGGAAAGGCAGTACTTGTGGGGTGGGCAGCTGCAGATCCTGTCCTGGGACCGAGTGCATGTTTGGTTCTCCACAAGCCCTTTTGGAAACAAGAATAGAGCAAGATGTTATTACCAACGTTTCAAATCACAGCCTGCAATGTGTTGGGTGAATATGAGAGGATGTTCACATGCCACAAGCTGAAGGTAATTTTGCAGCTTTGGGCTAGTTTAGCATCATAAACCAAATATGTTAATATGCTCCAATGTCTGCCTTGTCAGAAGAGTTTCCTCTTTCTCTCCCTGGGCAAGGAGGAATTTGCATCTGTAAAATGCACCTTAAAACTTTGTACCTGGAGCTGTGTTATATTTTATCATAACCCCAAATATGCACAGCTTGTGTCACCTGTTTTCATCACTGCAGTACCTGGGGCCACACTGACATGTACAGTCTGAGCACAACATGCAACTGCATTTAAAGTGTTTGGAGACTTCACTACACACATATGCACTCTGTCATTAGCCAGCTTTGTAAGATTGTCTGTTTAGATGAGACTAAAGGTCTTTTGAACAGCTTAGACTGTATCCCTAAAACTTACTCGTCAGTGAGTCAAGTAGGTAATTTTCAACACCAGCTGCCATTAGAAATGACTGAGACTGTTCCATGCTGTGATCCATCAGCCCCATGTCCAGATGTTGGTACAATGTACCTTATCTAAGCTGCTTCAGTGAACAGAGCCAGAAGTAAAAACAGCACAGGAATATCACAACTGGTGTTCGCTGTTGTCACATCAGCAGACAAATCAAGAAGTGACTGGATGCTGGAAATGCAATGATCCATTTACCCCTGTGCACGTCAGGCCTCAGGATCTCTTGACTAGACATTATAAGCAGGAACTCATTCTATTGGAACTATTTTAATGATGCAGTGCCTAAGTTTCTGAGAACATAAAGTTAGTTAAGTCTTTTAGGACTTAAAAAGGGACAGGACCCCTGCAAGAATTTTCCTTGATTCTTATCCCCAGATTTTACCGAAAGCACGAGGGCATACAAGTGACAGACAAAACCTCCCAGGAGAACCAACTGGGTTAAATCAAGCCTAGTCTTTGAACAGGCTGTTAAAGCCACAAATGGCTCTTTACTAATCCAAGCCCACCTTTCCTGCAGGGTGGGGAGCAGGCAAAGCACTGTGGAGACCAATTCCAGATGGCTGTGTAAGTGTTGGGTCTGCAGGGCCTGCACTTGGTGTCCACGGTGTGAGTGCAGCTCTCTGTCTTGTACTGACCTGTGGCAGAAAACAAATGAAACCAAAGCAGAGAAAGCATCTCACTGGAATTGCTTAAGGTGAGCTTCATTCTCATGCTGTAGAACCCCTTCACTGCCACTATCAGATTTAATGTATATTTGACCCCTGTTCCTACATTCAGTTCAGTGAATTCCAGCCACATTCAAAACAAGGCAGCCCCAATCCCAAAGAAAACCCCTCAGCATATCCTTAAATGCAGCTCCCACAGTACAAAGGAAAACACCTCAACTGCCATTTCCCTTCCTTGTGAAATGAGAAGGAATGTAAAAGCCAGTCTCACATCCTCTACAGAAATATCCTGGAAAACATCCTCAGAAAGCAGGATTAGCACTGAAAAAAATCTGTGGAGCTGCCTGAAGAATCTGTGTTTCAGAAGAAGAGGCCCTGGAGATGAGCCATATGAATTATTTCCAAAGACTTTGTTTTTCCATGCCCTTACTTGAAGCTCAAAATTCTGCATCCTACATCCTGCTAATGATTTAGGCTGATTTAGTGCTGAACAGTACATAAAACAACAAAAAAAGGTTTTATCTATGAATTACCATCTCCCATCCATCATGTTTGTAACAAAGGAAGTTTGACAGTTCTATCTAGATAATTTAAGTTCATTCAAGCAACTGCAGCTGGTTCAGCAAATACTGATTTCCTGTCTGTGCTTCCGGATCTGCCAGAAACTCAGCATTTATGGAGACAAGTCCCCTTTGCTCAGCATGTAAGGAGAAAAAAAAGGCAGTTTTTGCTGTGTTCTTACATAATAACATAGTTAAAACTTGTTGCAAAAAACTCTACTATTAAATATTCAAATAGCATTACTACCCCCAAAAAAACCAACCCACAAGCCCACCTTTCTGCAGACAAAAAGTTTAGCTAATCACAGACCACCAATAATTATCCCTGGAGTGTCAGACATGGCAGCTCAGAGCAGACAGCCAGAATGCATTACAATACCCCCAAAAAAATCACAGAAAATTGACTGAATTTGGCTGCATGAAGTTTGAATTGGAACCCACCTGGAGGGCACTGGCTGCAACACTTATTAAGTTCTTCAACATAGAATTCAGTGCTGGGATCTTTGCACTGTGCAAACTGTGGTGTATAAGGCAATGAATGTTCCTAGGAGAAAATTAATGGGAAATCATGAGTCACAAGTCCATTCTGACCCTGCATTAGAGAAAGAAATACTTAATGCCCAGTGCAATTCCAACCCCCTTCCTTGCCAAGGCACTGATGACACAGAGCACAGCAGATGCAGGAGAACACACAGCTTATGAGACTATTTTGAGGCTCCTCTGTCTTTCAAAGATCTGTCACAAGGAACAAAGGGATTTCTCCAGGTTTTATGTTCAAAGGAGTGCAGCAGGATTGGCATCACACCCAGTCACCACTGCATCTCCAAAGCTAAGGGCTGGGAGCTGCCATCACTCAACCAAAACACCAGTGAAACCCAAATTCTTACCTGTGGGTTTGTGGGAGAAGCATTTTCTGCCAAGTGGCCGTGTGAAAAACAACCTGTTTCACCAAAGGAAAGCAAAAAAGGCTCTCATCTTCCCAGATACTTAGTGACTCCTTCCTGAATGAGAAAGGCCTTGGTGTTTTCAAAATGATGCCTCCAAAAACTGCGCTGCTGCTGCTTCTGAAAAGCAGCACCTGGCAAAAATGCAGGTCAGATGCACGAGGAACAGTCATGAAATGCAGGGGGCCTACACTGATCAGCACAGCTCAGTGACTTCAGTGAATAAATGTCACAATGTTTGATGACTTGCTGACTGTTTCCCAAGGGAAAAACACACTCACTCAAAAGAAAAAGGCTCCTGTTAGGTAGGACAAGTGTAGGAGTTTTCTGCTAGATCAGAAAGGTGCTGTTTGAAAAGGATGTGACACTGCTCAGCTTTGTGCAGCCTGAAGAGATGGTTCCATGTATAATCTACACACATTTAGGGAAATCATTGCTAAAAAGAGAAATCAAAACAGGAACAAGCTCTTGGGAGGCTGGTAATGAAAATATCCTTCCTCCTTACTGGAACACATGTTGATTATCCATTGTGTCTTCACATCACAGACAAAGCAGACTAACACTTCCCACTCTCAACAATCACTTAAAAGGAATCCAACATCTTCTTATGCAGTTTGTGAAACATTTTGTCTCTTATCTAGTTGTGATCAGAAACAGGACTTTGCCAATCTCCTTAAGGGTCAGTGTCAAAAAGAACGTTTCCTGAGAATGTGAAGGCAGAGAAAAGTCTTCTTGAGTTTAGGTATCTGAGGATGGGCAATGACAAATCATCCCATTTTGCAAATGAGAGCTGGCACTAAAATCTGATGAAGGGGAAAAGGGCTTTGGTCTCATCAAAAGTATTTTTCATTTATTTATTAAAAGAAGAAAGATCAAGTGTTGTCGTCCCGTTTTTGTAGACACTGTGATCAACTTCATTCAAACAAGCACTTGAGAGCCTTTTTAAAAACACAGAACTTCACTGCAAGAGCAGACACGGGGGAAAAAAAGGAGAAGTACAATTAACCACATCACAAATTATCCTGCTGATGAGGCTTCCTGGCAAAAAACCCCACGTTCTTATCTCCTGCTCTGAACTGTCTGCTGTAAATCCTGCCCTGTGGGTGCAGACACAGGAAAACCTGTGGCTTGCTGGGCTCACACCTGCTTCTCTGAAGCTGTGCTTGAAGGGATCTCTCTGCTGTCTGATACAATCTCCCTGACATTTTATCTGATGAGCTGCTGCTCTCAGTGCCTCACAACTGACAATTCTTCTCAACTGTCCTCAAAGAACACGCTGGGAATCTAAAAGGGATTTGTGCCTGGCTGAGATGCTCATTTTGTTTAGTGGTTGCTCCAACATAAACCAGTTTAATCGAAGCTCTCAGATCTGGCAGAGGAAGTACAGGCCTTTTATTAGTTATAAAACTCCCCTGGATTTCTTGACTACAAGACCCCACTTTTTATAGCCATGGCACCAATCCTAAGGGCCAGCTTGGGCCATACAATATCTGTGTAGTTCCCTTGGCTACTTTGGGATGAACAGCTGATGAGTGGAGGCCAGATTCCATTCCACAATCTTTGCATTTTGTTACTCTTTGTACCTCTCACAAGCCCTCATTTTACTTTCTGTTTTTACTGCAATTCACAGATTACAAGCAGGCACAAGCAGATTGTGTGAAGGAAACCAACCTGATGCTGCATGTCTTGCATTACAGCCTTGGAACTTCTCAGCTTATGTGGCCATGTCTAATGGCAGCTGATTTTAAAGAGATTTATACTGACAGAATGAAGACTTTGGAAGACTTTGATTTAATCTGACAGGCACAAGTAGAATTTAAATGCCCCATCTATCTGACAGAAGAGGCACAAACATTCTTTAACATGAAATTTAGTCTCACTCCAAGCACAGCAACCAAATTAAGCACGGCATTTTGGCACAGAAATGGGTAAACTATGATTGTCTTTGGATACACAACTCACCAGGGAGATTTTTGCAATGCCTGTGCACTAAGCAATAACTAAGAAATTACACACACAAAGCCAATGACTCCAGACTCTTCAGAGTCCCTGCACTCTTTGAATCACGTTCCCATTTGCACTCTAGACACCCAGCACCCAGGGCACCTCATTTCTCACTGGGGAGGAGCAGGCTAACAGCAGAGAGCACTTTATGTGTAATTAAATTTCAGTATCTTAAATAATAAAAACAAAACACGTTAATATGATGGATGAATATATAAAAATCCATTCACATAACATTCATTTTCACTCAAGAAGGCCATTTAAACAAAGATATTTGAGCATCTATTTTAATCCTAACTACATTTTCATTGGTCTCCTTGCCTGCTTCAAACTGAAGCTGCCAATCAAAGGAGTCTGCAGAGGAACAACATCTGTGCACAAGGTTCTTTTCGCACATGAAACCACAATGAAGTCACTGAGGCCTCTGTCGTAAAAGTCTGTTCCTATGGAAAGGACCTGAGGTACAGAGACACCCTTTGCTGAGCTACCAGACCTGCTGGAGACAGGAAAAAACACAATTCTGTCTAAAAATATTTAAACTGGTCATTAACAAAAAGAATTCTGTGGGAGATTAGTTAACCAGATAACAGCATCTCACCAAAACCAGCTGGAGCTGTATCAGGCTGTCCCAGCTATACTCACACCACAAAGTTTCTTTTAAAGCTGCACAGATCTCTAAGATACAGATCCATTATGTGAATTATTCTCTTATCCTGTATTGCAACTTATTTCTATAAAGCAGGAGTCCTTGCACCACCACACACAGACAGAGTTGCAGCTCCACATTCCCCTTCCCTCAGGAAACACTGTTGTCTCTGCTCACTCTTGGGAATTCTACTTCATTGCCACCCACCACCACTACCACGTGAAAACATCTTCCCAAAAGAGAAGGCAGAAGCTGCACAGAGCATGGAAGCTACTCCCAGCATGCCAGTCATAGAAGTAAGTCCAAGTTTGTAGGGAGACAAGGTATATTTTATTATATGTGTACTTGGAAAAACATGGACATTTCAGCAGCTCTTCTGTTTGAAAAATTCAGGCTATTTCTGAGTAACTCTGGTGACTGAGTTATTCAAAAGTGGCAAAAGTAACGTTCAGTTCCTGTGACTGACACAGGGAGTGAGGCCAGGAGTGTTCAGAGAATTTCAGCTGAATGAGAAAAAACAGGAAATAGTGTTACTCAACAACTATGGCTTTGCCAATTAGTCTCCCTCAAAAATAAAATAAGATTTTTTTTAACAAATCACTTCTTAAAATTGTTATCACACACAGGGGTTTTTTTCAGCTCTGTGGCAGATGTAGTACTTCTGAAACTCCTGTGTTTGTTTTTCTAACTTTATAAATAGGCTTTGGTTTGTCACCATGCAGAGAGAGATGCTGAAAATTTCCTTCATTATTTCCATCATTATGTTTGCCATGTTTAGGGGGAGAGGAGAGTTCATTCCTTTTGAATTGAAGCCCCTTGTTCAGAAAGAAATAGTAACACTTAAATTCTGAGACTTTCCCTTCTTCATCTTTTGTACTCTACCCACTGCGAAGTGTCCAGTAAATCAGGTTCAAAATACTATCAATTTAAAACCAGGCTGAATTAAAAATGAGAAACAGTTAAAATAATTAATCTTAATATATTGTCAACCTATTATAGCACCAAGTACTCTTTGAAAGACCATTGTGTAATTCCAGGCTCAACACACATTTTGACATCCTCACCTGGTTTCACTGAACCTTTGTCTTACCGAGCCTGAATTCCTATGATTAAATAAACATGTAAATAACATCAGTATCCCATGAAAACACAACGACCTGGACATCTCAGCAGCATTTCCGTATTGATCCTCACAATCCTGGACGTTTTAAAATCGGACAGAAGAACGCTTTGCTAGACCAGCACAGCAAGCACAGAACCCAAGGCAAACAGATCCCATGGAGCTCTTTGGTTGAGGCAGTTCCGAGCCCTCATTGCCCAAGAGTGGCACAGCTGGATAGGAGAGAGGACAGTCCCAGCTGCAGCACATCACGTCTGCACTGTAAATTGAAAGGCTTTTCTATGTAAATAGGGAAGAGTTCTAGGAAACCAGCGGAGCACAACAAGCTCTTCCTGTTCGAACCACGGTGTCAAACGAGTACGGATTTACCCCCCGCACTTGCCGGGACGCTCACGATTTTTACAAATACTCAAACAGGCCTGAAAAAACCAACCTATTCCCAATGAAAAGCCAGGAAAAACGGCTTGCTGTCGCTTTGGGAAGCCGAGAAAAACAACGACATCGCCGAGGGGAGCGGGGCGAGTTTTAAAGGAGTCTTAAGAGCGGGACTTGAGGCTGCTGAAGAGATCGCACCGAGTCCTGTGCAAGCGGGGGCAGGCGGGCGACAAGGGGCTACAAAGGCGACACGGGGCAGAGGGGTGACGAGGGACAGAGGGGTGACAAAGGGCGGAGAGGTGACACGGGGCGGGCAGGTGACTCACACCCCCACACTGAGCCGATGCCCGCCCGCAGCATCCCCGAGAGCAGCCCCCCCTCAGGCGATGCCCTCCCGCGTCCCCCCTGGCTGCGCTCCCGCCTCGCAGCGCCCCGGGAGCGGCGGGGAGACCCCCGGCCCCGCACAGCCCCGCACAGCCCCCGGCCCGCACTCACCCGGCCGCCCGCGGTCCGGAGCAGCCCCACGAGCAGCGCCCAGCGCGGCCACATCGCGCCGCGAGTGGCGCGGGGCGGGGACGGGGCGGCCCCGCGGGGGGACCGGCCCCGGGATGTGCCAGCCGTGCTGCCCCGGGATGTGCCAGCCGTGCTGCCCCGGGGCCCCGGGATGTGCCAGCCGTGCTGCCCCGCGATGTGCCAGCCGTGCTGCCCCGGGATGTGCCAGCCGTGCTGCCCCGGGATGTGCCAGCCGTGCTGCCCCGCGATGTGCCAGCCGTGCTGCCCCGGGATGTGCCAGCCGTGCTGCCCCGGCCCCGCGATGTGCCAGCCGTGCTGCCCCGGCGCCCCGCGATGTGCCAGCCGTGCTGCCCCGCGATGTGCCAGCCGTGCTGCCCCGGCGGCCCCCAAGAGTCACACCGTGGGCACGAGAGTGTCATCCGAACGCTCCTTGAGCTCGGGGAGGTTCGGTGCTGTGACCACTGCCCTGGAGGGTGTCTTTAGTCCTATTTGTGCTCCACTCATAGAACGTCCTGAGTTGTATAATCTCGTGGACTTCATCCCAAAATACGAACTTACCTTTCTCAGCATCCCAGCACTCATTAATACCCATCCCAGCACTCATTAATACCCATCCCAGCATTCATCAAACACCCATCCCAGCATTCATTGACACCCATCCCAGCATTCACTGACACCCATCCCAGCATTCATTAATACTCATCCCAGCATTCATCGACACCCATCCCAGCATTCACTGACACCCATCCCAGCACTCATTAATACTCATCCCAGCATTCATTGACACCCATCCCAGCATTCACCGACACCCATCCCAGCATTCATCGACACCCATCCCAGCATTCATTGACACCCATCCCAGCATTCATTAACCCCCACCACTGCTCCACTCGTGTGCCACGCACTGCTGGGATGGCACAGTCAGACTTGCTGTAAATTCAGTCCTGCTCTTGAGAAAAACCCCACTCCACTAAAAGCCTCATGAGCTTCAAGCGGCTTTCTTGCAGAAATATTTCCTCTGCAAAAAATATTTCTCCTGTGGCTGATACAGGTGCTGAAATTATCAACGATGAAATGTGTACGTACCAAACAAGAAAAGCATGGCCATGGCTTAAAATCCATGTAACTTTTAATTCAGAGATTACCAGCATTATTAAACCAACCGAGTCTAACACATCCAGCAGGTTACAATGCACACGGTTCACCTAGAAAGCTGTTCCAGTAAAAAAGATTAATTTATATACAGAGCTGAGATGTACAAGTAGCTGTCATTGCAGGACAGCCCTGAAAAATCACAGCCAGGTGAAAGCATGGTTATTTATGTTTGTGGGTTCACAAATTGGTGTTTTCTAAAATGAAGTATGTAGTGAAGTTAAAGTAGATGTGGAAGAGGTCAACTGAAGTGACCAAGGCAAGGGAGCATCTAAGTTACATGAGAAGTATGAGGAGATGGGAACTCAGCTTGGAGGCTGAGGAGGATACAATCAAGAATCAGTTGCAAAAGAAAAAACAAAAAGTAAGTCATTGACTTCTGTAAGACAAGAACTAGTGGCACTCACTGAAATAAAAAGGCCAGTCTAAAAGTGTTACAAGTCCTTCTTTACACAGGGCATGGTACCTGTAACCTGCTGCCACAGGTGCTTATGGAGGAAAGATTGTACCAGGAAATTGAAAAGAGAGAATTAAAACTAGTGGCAATATGAACAAAGAGTAAGGGCTCAGAAAAACCCCTGGACATCCTGATCCAATCCCAGCTGCTGCTGCAGAACGGTGAGGAGTGCAGACAGCAGATATTAGCCAGGCTGATGTGCTCTTCCTAACTGACACCCCTGACTGCAACTGCCAGAGATAAAATGTTGGGCTCACACTCCTAGACTGGCCCAAGAAGGTGTTTTTATGCCCTTATGTTCCTTCTGTGTATTCTAAGATAAGTCACTGCAGCTGCACAGCTGTTTTTACAGTACTTCACCCAGGGCAAAACTACAAAGCAAGCAATGGTTTTTGTGGTTCCTTTTTTTTTGACTATTAAGAGACACTTTGTCATCTTGCTCATTTTCCATTGTCCTCTGCAAAAGTGTAGGCAGCACTATTACATTTACAGTTACTGAACAAGCAGCAAGAAAGACTGAAAAATAGCATAACACAAGCCAGTCGACCACAAAACAGCTTTGTTTTTAAAGCATATGCAAACCACCATCACCCTGATGATGATGAGCAATTTTAAACCAAGTAGATATTAATAATTTTATAGGAAATAATTGCTGTGCCTCTTTTTCAGTCTTTTCTTTCTGCAGAAAAATAGTTTCTTTTCTTCGCTTCCCTTTTTGCAGGCTCCTCACTGGATTAAGCCCATAGTTCATCCAATAACCAGTTTCCATCAGAAGAGGCCATTTCATACACTTAGTGGTGATTTGAAGTAGTCAAAAAACATGAATCAGACTTCAAAACCTAGAAAGAATGCCCTGAAGTGCAGTGGACTTCAATTAGTTTTATTTGCCTTCTGTTTTCAGAGCCTCTGTGGCACCTTTTGATCCCATTGCCTCAAGAAACAAGTCCACAATCCTGAGAGTTGGTTGTGCTAGGGAAAACTGAAGCTGTCATCACTTTCAGTCAAGAGTTGAGGCCTTAAGAAAACGCCAGATGTTGCAAAATATGTGACAAAACTGGAAGTACTGAAAGTGAAACAACCTAATCAACAACTTCCATGGCTGAATCTCAAGCTTGACTCGGAATCCTGGCCAGAATTTTCCCAGCTAACAGAAGTAACCAGACATAGATTTCAATCCATTCCTTCATGCAGAGAAAGCAAGCTGTGAAACTTCAGCTGATATCCAGATGTCTTGTAAATTGTGTAGCTTTGATTCAGATTTGTTTCCAGCATAACATGGGGAGAGAGAGGGGAAAGAGGAATATTTGATGTCAGCTGTGAAGGCCAACGATTTGGATGATCCTGTCATTTGGTAAATGAAAGGGGTTCTAGCTCTCCTTGTTTGAGTGTGTTTTTGGTGTTTTCCAGGGGTTTACCAATGACCCAAGGCACTGTGTGTTTACCTCCCTCGTCACAGAATCAGACTTAGTGTAGCGCTGGATGTCCCTGCAGCTCCTCATCTGCACGGCTTGTCATTTCTCTGTGGCAGTGGTGGGGTGGTGAAACTCCTTTCCCTCCTCTTCCACAGGAACCATGACATCATTCCCTGGAAAGGACTCTGTTTCCTGCTCTGGGTAGTGCATTGCCAGTTCCTCTTCCATGGTTTCCTGGGTGTCAGTGTTACTGTCACATCCTCTGGCAGGGCAGTTCTTGCCACCGGGCACTTCTGCAATGGAGCCCACGATAACAGTGTCGGCCTTCATGATGTAGAGCTTTTCTGAGGAAGGAAAAGAGGAGTGCTGAGGGTGGTGAACAATCCCTGCTGGCCCCAGAGACTGCTCCTTCTCATGCAACGTTTTTTTATTAGGACTCTGGGCATTTCAGAGTGAGCAGATTCAGCTTCCATGGGATGAAGCCACTGAGCTGGAGCTCAAACTACGGGGGAAGGACAGAGCAGAAGAGGCAGAAGATGCTCACAAGAGTCTGCCAGAAGAAGCAATTAATTGGGACCTAGATATAAAGAATCCAAGGTTTATCCTCCTGCTGTTTCAAGAAGCAACACCACCTGCATGAAAAGCAGCCTTTGGGCAGGGATCAGAACTGTACAGAAATTCTGGGGTCTTAAGACCAGCAAAGATTCTTTCCAGCTGAGAGTAAACTGCAGAATTTTCTGGGATAGACTTTGTGTCCAGCTTGTTGTACCTACTCCTTCACAAAAAGGTTAAGAAGGCCTTTGCAATGGCTTGGACCACTACACTTGATTCAGAAGGATGCTGCAGGTCAGACACTGCAGGTCACAACTGCTTGGAGATGTTTGGATATGGTAAGTTAAATCATCACATTCATCCCAATCCATCACTCACAGTAAAGACTGAAGGGGCATTTAGGAAGGAGAAGTCAGCTCTTGTAATATGAAAAATAACACCTTCAAATAACCTCAAAATTGGGTTTGGAAACATTGCCAGAATGTCTCAGGTAACAATTCTCCCCCCTGAGGAAGTTCCTTGCCTGACTTCATCTCCCACCCTGTGCCATGGTCAAAGACTGATGGGAATACATGGGAGACACATTTCCAGCTATTACTGTGAAACCAAGAGAAGAAAGTGGTAGTTTAGACATGTGAACTCCCATTCCTACTCAGAGCATCCTTTCCCAGCTGACATATTTCTGGTTTTCAAATTTCTTCTGTGAATTTACATCTCTTGGAATGAATAGGAGGAAGAAGGCAATTTTCTGTCAGACTGAAAAGTGACTAAGGCAAACATGAAAATAGGAAAGTGTTATACTCAGATGAATAGGTGTTTGTGTGTCAAAGATTCTAGAAATTCAGCTCCAATCTTTTGTTAGGAGATTTGGGCACTTTTGCAGCTTACTGGTAATCTTGGAATGACATTACGTGACATGGTTGAAAAACTGGAAAAACAAGAGAAAAGGGGTGAAAAAAACAACACTCACCAATTCTATTGTTTGTGTGGTCTCTGACTCGAGAATCCACAGGACAATCTGGGCCATTCCCACTGCTGGGTGTCACCTCAGCCACACCCCGATGGGGACTCTGTGCTTTTTCTGTGCTGGAGACCAAGTTATTGTTGGTTTCCAAAGGGAGGGTTCTGTCAATTAACTCCTTCTCTTCTGGCCCACTCTCAGGGCTCAGGAGGATCTTCTGCCAATACAAACAGAGAGCAAAAAGTGGGGTGGGTGTAAAAACACTGTGAGGGTTGCAAGGATTCTGCAGAACCCCTTCCAGGGCAGCCAGGACAACAGGATGTAGCTCACAGCACCACTGTCACAGGGAGGGAACAATTCCAAAGTGCCTGACAGGTATGGGAACTTAAATTTCTCTGAAGCAGGTTCCTGCATCACTTAAGCCCATATTTAAAAACCAGCATTTCTAAGCTCAGGTTACAGATTGCTGATGACATTTGCAAGAATGTCCATCATCTTCACTGAAGAAAATATATAGTTTAGCTACCTCTTAGGTTTTCCATGCTCCCATGGGAGAACAGAACAAACCAGAGGTTGAACTGGTTTAACTTCAAAATGCAATTGCCTCAGCAGAACCTCAGGTACAATAAATGAGCTCAGACTACCTATTAGGTGAGGAATTAATTACAAACAGTTCTTTAAAAGAGGAGGCAGAATCTGAGAGAAGCCAAAGGTTCCCAGCTCTGTTTGTGTCAAAGAAAAAAAAAAAGCCAAACACAAACCCCAGAAAAAACAATGTAGGATTTTGATATGTGCAGTTTAAAATTCTTGCTCATGTCTGACTCAGGAAGCAAGAGGGGAAGCTCCTCACAATTCAGGGATTAGCAATGACACTCTGAAATTATAACAGATGATTGCCACCAGAGTGATTGGAAAAATTAGCACCTGACAGACAAAGTAGGGACTGACAGACATGGAATGCACCATTAATGGCATGAGACCAACCCAAATACTCCCCTCAGGAGCAAGATTGGCAGCATCACGTTATTTAACACCACATGAAACCCAGCCCAGGACGTGAAGTAGCAAGTCCTGGTACAGCTCATTGCTGCACCCTGATGATCACACACTGGGGAGCAAAGTCCAAGCAAAAAGCCTGGCACTCTGTGACAGGACATTTAAATATAACACTATTTGCACTGGCATGGAAAGGATCTGGGTTGGAATATTGTTCACACTTACTGCACATCTGTCCCCTAGGTCAGGACCTGCAAGAGGAAAGTGGAAAAAATGACCAGAAGAAAACTCACACAATCACAAGAATGTCGATATTTGCTCTGAAAGGCCGCCTGGCCCTGCCCAAAACCACTGCACTGCCCACCCCACCTGCACTGTGGTTTTCCTAACACTGAGGGCACCCTTAAATGACACAGCTGAGGGGAACAGCAACACGTTGGTGCCAAGGCTGGGAGATCCTGCTCTGCCCAAAGCCCTTTGCATCACTCTCCCCACACCACAACTGGAATTCATCTAATGAAAGGATGAACCGATGAAACTTGTCCAGATAAGCACAAGACACCCTTATATATATATTTAAAAAAAAAAAAAAAAAGTGAATAACTTTCTACTGGATTAACAAGCTGGGTCAGTCCATCGTGTGGTCAGATGAATATTAAGGGGAGGGGATTTTATGTGTGATTTCATTAGATGATTCCAGGGAATGCTGGGGAAAGCAGAGGGGTGAGAAGGAGGGAATGTACAACATCCTGTAGCACCATGATGGGCTCAGACCTACTATCTAATTTCACCCTGATGTGCAACCACCTTTATTTTCAGTGCATCAGCTCTGAAATGCTGCACAGTAACAGTTTTTATTGTGTAATGCAAGTGAGGGAGGAAAACCCCATCCATTTTGAGAAAATTAAGCTGCTTTAAATCATATTCCTGAATAAATGAGTATTAAAAGCTCTGATTTGTGGTGATGAGGAGAATCTAACACAGCAGAATAGATCTATCAATGAGACAGACTGGGATTCTGAGAGGGGTTCAGCTTATTGGACAAACTGTGTGTGCTTTGGGGGATCTGTACAGGCTGCTATGGCTAACACACACTTTTTTTTTTTTTTTTTAATGTCCAGAAATTAATTGACTGTTTTCCTGCACTGACACATCACCCAACCCTTCATGTACTGTGAGAACAAAGTGCCATCTGGTGGCATCTGGTGACATCCAGAGAGCACCGGCCTTCTGCAAGGCAGCAGAGGCAGAAGTTTGACATGAAGAACTTCCACTTTCTAAATTAAAATTCTATAAAATCAAGCTCCTTATTAAAACTCTCCACTTATTCTTCAGCGTGCTGGTCCATCAGTCACTCACCTGGCGATTTGAGGCCGTATTTGTGTGCGATGACAGAATGCAGATGGGCTGATAAGAGAAACCTTCTATTTAGTCAAACTCCCCATGGAGCCTGCAGGCTCTAACAGCTCCACCACACCCACAGGTCTACAAGCAACCTGCAGCGTGCACATCCTGCTTTCTATAAAGAGGGAATGTGGTTCCACGGGCACACCCCACATAATTGACAGGCAAAGCTACGGAGAGTCGGTGTCAGTAAAAATCACTCTTCCTCTCTTGCTCAAAGCCCATCCCCACTCCCAGAACCAACAAATACTCACACAGCACTTCAGGTATCATTTAATATAAGTGTCTGTGCTGAGAGAAGAAACAGCTGGTTATCCTCTCCCTGCCCTCCATAAATTCACAGCTGCTGCAATATTTCATGTTCCTCTTGCCTAAAACCCTTATCTGGCCTGCCTTCACCAGGCTGTAGTGAACCTCCTCTTCCTCAGGGACCCCCATAAAATTCTGGGATATTTCAGTTGCCTTTTGGCTTATCCTGGGAGATCAAACAGCCTCCCGGGTATCAGAGCTTTAAAAACTCACGCTTTCCTTTGAGGACGAGGATCCGCTTCTTGCAAACCTTCCATTTCCAGAAGAACAGCACGGCCCCGAGGAGCACAATCACACAGAGCACCACTGCCCAGAGCACCACACCTGCAGCACACAGAGGGAGCACGGGAAAGGCTGAGGAAAGGCAGAGGAGGAGCTCTGAGTAGATCCACGTGTTTGGACACAGACCCACGGACTGTGTGGTTTTCACGAGCCGTAGGGGATTTGCAGGAAGCTCCCACATAGAAAGTGCGTTTACCAAAGATATCTCCCAACAAAACACGCCAGACAGAGTAACTGCTGTGTCTTTGTTACCTCCCATTGTCATCTCCCCCTTGGCTGAGGTGGGAAAAGTGCTAGCCAGAGCTTTCTCCTCAGGAGTTGAACTGGGGTTTTCAGTCGTCGTGGCACTTCGAAGATCTCCACTAGCAGTGGTCACCAGGCTCTCCTCAAGCCTCCTCAGGTCAGAGTGATTTGTTTCATTGCTGAATCTCGTGGGCAAAGTGCTTTGGGTGAGGTAGGTGGGCGACTGGTCCAGGCAAACCTGATCGTGCGTGGCATTTCCTTCGCTCAGTGCCACCTTGTTTAACTTGGCACAGCTGGGAACGAGAGAGAACGGGCATCAGTGCTACAGGAAAGTGCCATGGTCCACAAGACAAGTATTTGCCATGTGGCAAACATCCCTTTGGTCATTTCTGTACCACCTCCAATTATTGCTTTCAGTGTCAAAGCCATTAACCTTCTTCTCACCCCCGTGGCGTTAATTCTTGACCTGGATGCAAACCTGATACACAGGCGTAGAATTCCCCTGTAAACTAAAAACAAGGCAACAGATTCCTTCCTTCCCTCCCTCCACTCCAGAGCTGTGCAACAGCTACAAAGAGAGGCTTTCTGACCTCTGCTCCTGGCCCCAAAGCTATTCCAGTGCCTCTAAGATAAATTTGTATACTTTGCAGCAGAACCGATGCGTCCCATTTCATCCTTTATTAACTTCAGTTAATTAGTCAGTCAGGTTAAATAACCTGGGACTTACTCCGTGTGGGGCCTGCAGATGTCAGTGCTGGAGCTTTGGTCAGAGAAGGTCCCAGCAGGGCACTCCCCACAAGTGACATCATGTGTTGAGTTGCCTGGATAAAAACAATGACTGGGGACTGACCGACCGAAGACACATCAGGTCAAGAGCAGGAGAGGGAAAGTGGAATTCCCACCTCTGACTTGGACCCCGAAGCCGGGCTGGCAGGGGGTGTGGGGCTGGCACCGCAGGCAGGTGTAGGGGCTGGACAACCGGCAGAACAGGCCTGGCCTGCACTCGCACACGCGGCCGGAGGTGAAGGAGCAGGGCTCCTTCTCCACGAGGTCCGACTCTGTGGGCGAGAAACAGAGGCAGTAACAAAGGATCACCTGCAAGGGAAATGCAGAGGGGAGCCAAAGCTGAGCAACGTCAGTTCAAAGGCTCAGGAGGCAGAACAAGGTGCTGGCACTCCTCCTGATCCCAGAGTGGCTTGGGGTGAAGGGACCTTAAAGCTCATCTCATTCCAGCCCCTGCCATCCCATCCACCTTCCACTCCACCAGGATGCTCCAAGCCCCGTCCAACCTGGCCTTGGACACTTCCAGGGATGGGGCAGCCACAGCTTCTCTGGGCAACCTGTGCCAGGGCCTCCCCACCCTCATAGGGAAGAATTTCTTCCTGATATCTGATCCAAACCTGCTCTCTGTCAGTTTGAAGCCACCTGATGGCAACTGAAGTCATGAATAACTGGAGAAGCCTTTAGACAATATGAGACAGAAAGTAGAATCCAGACTTGGATAGCACTGGAGGAGAGAGATTTTGGGTAGTCCCCAGGTCACACAGGAAGCCACACTGATTATGTGCAAAATCAGTAACCAAGGATAGGTAATTCTGCTGCTGGAAATTCTAGATGAATAAAATACGAACAGAGTGTAAACAAAGCACATAGAGGGAGTAGAACTGTGAGGTATGTGCTGGGGAAAGCAAACCTTTTCTGCATAAGACACAGGCATCACATCGTGGCCTCAGGGCTTCTGTGTTGACATATTGCCCAGGCCCACACCTCATGCAGTCTGCAGATGGGTCCTGAGGACAAGGTTTCTTGTTAACAGAGCCTGGAGAAAAACAAACAAACAAACAACAACAACAAACCAAAATATGCAGGACACCTGTTCAGAATAATGGGAGACAACCATCCTGAAGTGTCTTGCATGCTCCTTCTCCTGTTAGACACACCACCACAGTCGTTTGGTTTCTCTAGCAGGTTTTTGCCCTTTCCATGTGAGTGGGAATTATCCTGGGACATTATCCCAGCTGGAATGGGCTGCTGCAGAACGGGCACGTGGCAAGTCATTTGCTGACAGAAAACACCACCAAGTCTGCAGTGAGGGCAATTGCCCTGCCATTCCTGAGTTTCCAGGAGATTGGTTTTCATGGTTCCCTCTTTCCTTCAGCTGAAAGGGCTTTTAGAAAAGCTGCTCTTCCTTCGCAGCTGAGCTTGTAGCAGATATGAGCAGGTTATTGCTTGGAGGAGCAGTGGAAGATTAAAATGAAAAAGGATTCTTATAACTTTTATTGTGCAGGGGATGTGAGGAGATGTCCAGGACTGACATGAGGATGTAGCCAAGAAATGAGTGACAAGAATCAGCAGAGGTGAAATGATGGATACTGGTGGTTCACTGGTATAAATCAGGTCTCTGCTTCTCACAAACCTCACTATGACACCTGTCATGACAGGAGCTTTGGCAAAGCGTGGCTTTGAAGGAGAAAAGAGCTTTCCTTGGGACTGTCTCTGAGTCACGAGCCCCCTCTTTTCTTATTTTATGGGACCATTTTCTCCATCCCTGGCTCTTGTTCACCTGGACAGCTTCTGCAGGAAGGTGTGGCCAGCGGTGCAGGATTCCCAGTGGGAATCCTGCTGGAACTGCATGCAAATGCTGGCAATCAAACACTGACCCTCCCCCCTCTGTATTATCAGAGCTCAAAGAAATGTCAGAAATTTCCTTGAAGAAAAACAAAAGAAAAAGAACAGATTTCTGTGAGAAGATACTGATGGTGGTGAAGCACCACAAAATGCCCCACCCACTGAGGGGTTTTTTGGCCAATAGGGGCAGTTTCAGATATTTCCAGAGCTCTTGTCTCACCGAGGTGTTTCCTGCTCTGACCTCATGTGCCTTTGAGTCACAGCCAGCTTCTAGCAAAGCTCTCAGTGTCCCCAGACAAGGGCTGTTCCCTCCCTCCCTCCCTCGTGTGAGACACTTTCTAAACTGTGAGAACAATGTCAGATTTTCCGTACCTTCATTTGGTGCTTTTTGTCTCTGAGCAGAAACTCGCTGAGTCTAATTTGCCTGTGCTGTTTCACACCCTGAGGCAAACTGGAATGAATTCTGCCTGTTCCTGGCTGCTTCAGTGTCCAGTCAAGGCATAAAAAGCACATCAAAATTCTGTCAAGTTTCTCTACTTTGCAATTTGCACGTTGTTTGCGTGCACAGGAGCAGGACAGTGGATGAACAGATTCACCTCTGGATTCAATTAGACAGCGATTCATGAACTTGCACTTGTTTTTGCAGGGACAAAATACAATTTTGCAGATACACAGAGTTCCTACTGTCTCTCCAAGAAAGACTCCATGTAAATTTGATTATTTTGTAATTATACTGACCTGAGGGACACTGGTAACAGCAGCTTCGTGAAGTTTCATCATAGAACCAATTCCCACGTGTGTCACAGGTTAATGATATCTGGAAAGTGAGACAGACAGAAGACACAATTAGAAAACAACTAATTCTGCATCAGGGCAGATCCCAGTACCTGCCCCAAGTGATGCCATCTGCAGATGGTGAGGAAAAACCCACAGCTTTTTGAAAATTTAAGTACCCCCAAAGCAACTAAATCAATGCCTGCATCTCCTTTAGAAATCTTGCAGCAGTTAGCAAATAAAAGTATTTTTAAAAAGGATAAAAATCATTGTCCTGAAATGGTGCTGTGTTCATTTGAGATAAGGATTTTTAGGGAAAAGAAAAACAATCCCTCACCTCTGGAACAGATTTCCAGCTCTGTGTGCACTGGAGTAAAAGGTGCTGCAATGCACACAGTGACTCTTGGCAGCAAACAGGTTTTTCTGTTATTCATGCAGTCCTAATGCTTGAATTCAGCAACCTAAGGATGTGTTTATTGTAAACCAGTTACCTGTTTTACTTATCACTTAGGGGCAAATCCCACACTGAGAGCAGGAGGGTCTTGCCTCGGAGAGAATGCATGCAGATGTTCTCACAATGAAGCTCTTATTCAAATAACTCATCCCACTCGTGTTGTGAGTGAAGGTTTTCAGAAAGAACCTTTCATTACTACATAACTGATACTGGTTTAGTGAAAAAAAACCCCCACCATCCAATAGTTCTAATCTTGGCTTAGAAAATGAGACTCAGTTACGAATTGGAACAAGCAGCATTACAACCAGACTTTGTTTTTGTACAGCTGGGCCACCACATGCTCTGGGAAATTACGGTGCCACGAGTGTTCTGATGAGAAAATCGGATTTTTGAATGTGGCATCTCCCTTAATAATCCCCTAAAACTGTTGTTACCTGAATTTCATTTTCACTTTTTGCTAGAAGGCATAAACAGCGATTTTTTTGGTGAAGAATCAATCAGCAGATTCCCCCGAGATTTTCCCACACGATACTGGCAGAGCAGTTAAATATTTCAGAAACTCTCCATCTCACTTTCTGCAGATGAATTTCCCACTGGCCTTTGAAATAAAACCTGCTGCCTTTGTACACTGTGCAGAATCTCACCCCCTAAATCACCTCACAGTTTAACACACAGAAAACACTGAAATGATTTAACTTCCATCAGAAAACAGGAACTTTCAGTCAAGGAGGAAATGAACAAAAGGGCGAGAAATATAAACATATTGAAATCACTGAATTTCGTCGAGCTCCACTTAACAGAAGTGAGAATGTGACACATCTCTGCATCACCCCCGGGGCCAGAACCTCCCCACGAGGATTTTTCCTGCCTGACTGCAGAGGAAGAGCAGAAGGCTCTGCCTGCTCAGCCTGACTCAGCTCTCATTTCCACACGTGCACCCGGTATTTTCCTGCTCTAGGAGGAAGCCCCAGACTGCAGGAAAAGGAAGTGGGATCTCCTTCACTTCTGTGTGCAAGATCCAGCCCGGCCAGGCAGCCCCTGAACCCCAACTGAGCAACAGGAAACCACCACTCACCACACAAAGGGTCATTCCTGAGTCACCACAGTGATAGCAAGTGCATTAACTGGTTTTAGAAAGAAAATTTAAGAAGCTGCAGCATGCTGGCTGTAGCTAATCAGCCTGGATTAGGTTCTCTGTAAGAGCTGTGGGAAGTCACCACAAACACACGATTTTCTCTTCCTGGGCGACCAACTCTGGCTGCAAATGCAGCTGAATTTTAAACCAGGGTGGGGACAAAATTCTTCAATTATTTATGCAGCACATAAGCTTACAGAATATTTGTGTGTTTCTGGGTTTAAATAAAGGAATAGTGCCTGTGTAAAAGCGTGAGGGAAGGGCAGCTTTTTAAAAAGTTACCCTGTTCTAAAATATGGAAACCAGGGTTTCAGGGTTAGATTCTGCTCCTGGACACGGCAGGGCACATTCTGATTATGAACTTGACCTGATGCCAGTGCAGTGACAAATTACTGCGTGAATTAGACATGGATACCACACAATTTATGAAAATATACATAAGAAAGAGAGCACTGAACCTTTTTTCCCCCTTTCCACAGGAGGGCAGCTCTGCCCTGCAGCTACATTACACACATCATCCACATCTCCCCAGCAAATGCTGCTCTCAGGTGTCCAGCACAGCCTTGGAGCCACCTGCACTGTTCCCTGAGCCAAACCCAAGCTGCTCTGCTGTGAAAAGAATTCGTTTCACCAAATCATGGCAGGACAAACCACCTTCTGAAGGCACCACCACTTCCAATCCAAGCTACCTGCAAAATGGCTTTAAGGTTGCCACCTGTTCATAGGGGTGTTTCCTGAGTGTAAAATCAGCACAGCCCCTTTCAGTGATAAATAACACACATATCAGTGCTCAGCCTCAGTCACCACGTCCCTATTCTTGTCATCTTTTCCCCTCTAAATCCTGAAGCTGTTTGGCTCCTGCCCTGGGTGTGACAGGTGTCTGTCAGCTGTGATGGGAAAGCTCAGAGCCATCGTTATTTCTGCATCTGTGCCCCGAGCCAGAGTGGATTTGACCTGGGTTGGACACGAGGACACGGTGCAGAGGTGATGCTGCTTTATTCCAGCTGTAGGGACACAGATAAATGTGGGAGCTAAGGGGAAGGTGAGCTGGAGCAGCAAACGATCCCCAGTGCAGCAGAAAGCTGCTCAGCACAGAATGAATCTGTCCACACCTTTTGAACAGCTTTGAACAAGTCACAAGTCTCTGACAGATTAGTAATTTGCATCTGGTTTTGCTCTAATACAAGGAATTCTTCAGTTGGATTCAATGTGCTGTTCAACTGGAGGGAGACAGAGACTGAATTTCACTAATTTTTCCTGCATGCTCTTCAAATAAAGGTTGGGGTTTTAGCAGGAGCTGGAATACATCTGGTGAAAGGAAAGACCACAATTGCTATCCTGCTTGGACTGCTCTGTGTCAGGATCCCCAGGGTCCCCTGGTTTAGAGCTTTCAGTGACCTAACAGGCCAACTATTTTTTTTAATTTTCTAAATGTGTTGCAGATCAAGACCCAATTAAATAGAGCAGACATATTAGATACAAAGCATTTGGGTTTTTCAGTGCTTGCTTGTGAGAATTTGTTTTAGAAAGTAGGCTTTTTGTAGCTCTTCTCACTTTCCTTGGTTCTATAAACATTTGCTATTCCAATTTAAATAATGGCAGTTGTAAAGGTGGTGCTGAATTCAGTGGGCTACTCTGCAATTCAGTCAGGACAAGGTTTGACTCATTTATTTATGGCCTTTTGAGCTCACAGAGAAAAAGTGATGGTGAGGCACAGCACGAAATTTGCTACAAATGAGCTGTAAGTCAGGAAGAAAGCACATTACGGTAAAAAAAAAGATTTCTACCAGCAGTGGCTATTCCAGAACTGACTAATGCTGCAGCAAAACAGTTAACTGCCTGTCAAGCTTCTGGCCAAATTCTGACAGCTCTGAAGGAGCTGGTAGTCTAAGGCTTCGAGTTGTCAAGCTCCATCTGCTTGATCATAAAGACATTACCAACAAATGAGAGTTCACCGAATATAAAAAGAAACAAAACCCAAACTGTGGACATAAGTAGGTGGTTTAAAAATAGGACAATAAGCTGTGACTTGCTCACATTAAATAGTATCACTTGTGCTCCAGCATCAGTAAAAGTAATTGTGCAGAAGGAGAGTAAAAACCAGTTCCCCGTGTCAGTGAGATCTGTGTATTTATTCCAGGTAACTGATGATTTTGCAGTGAGTCTGCATGTTGACAATGACAAATCAAAAAAAAAAAAAAAACACAAATTTTCTCACTGCTCCTTTCAATTTGCGAACAAAACGTCAAAAGTGATATCAGCTGGCAAAAATATCCTCTTTTTTTTTTTTTTTTTTTCCCTTTTGCCTTTCTCCTAAAGCAGTTTGCACTCAGCAGACCAGACAAGTTTATCTGAACGCCCTCCCAGGCACTCCCCAGGTGAGCAAGAGCTACAGACTCCAACCCTTCTGTGTACTTCAGGAAGGAGACAGTGGCAGGACAGATAACGAGGGGAAAGTAGAGCAAACTTGCAATGTGGGAGGGGAATTTACAACTAAAGACACAAGAGCAAACTCCTACTCTTACCAAAAGAGCCAGGAGGACCTTTTTCAAATGCCTGTGAAGAGGATGCAGGACTTGGTTATTTTCGAAGACCTAACTGGAGTCCAGGTCTTGTAAAACACCTCCTGGCAGCCCAAGTGATGGTTTAGCACTCAGTTATGAGGACAGACAGGTCTCTTAGGTTAATTTATCCTCATATTTCCCCAACAGGGGAAACCAGCCCATTTCAGGATCCAGCACAGAGTGCAATTACTCACCTACTTAACTTTACCTGAGCAAAGAGTCTCTGTGACTGACCTTTCTCTTTTTTTTTTTTTTTGTAACCTGTATGCTTCGGTGTTGGGCAGGGAAATTACCAGGATTTATGCCAGGTGCTGAGGGCTCGTTGCCAGGTGCCCCACGGCAGGAGGGGGGTGAATGGCAGCGTGGGGGTGGCAGCAAAGCCGCAGGAGCTGATACGATCTGAGCAGGGAGCTGGTGCGCACCTCCAGCATCACCGAGTGCAGCTGCGGGGCTGCGTCTGTTTTAAGTGATTTTGATTCAGAAAGAATAGTGGATTCATGAGGAAGTCGGGGAGGGAAGGGGGAGGTGTAAAGAGGAAGGTCTGTTACGGGTTTGCCTCTACACCTTTCAGTTCGCCTCTCCTGACCCGCCTCGGCAGAGCGAGCAGCGGCCTCTGAACGAAGCTCTCTGCAAGGAACCTGCCTTGCACAGAGCACATTTCACAGGCAGAAACAAAATCCCCTCGCCCCAAGCAAACCTCCCCTCCCTCCCTGCCCAGCTGTGACGTGCTTGGAGCTGCAGCAACCCCAGCAACGCCAACACGGGGGATGCAGATCCCAGCTCGCACCCCCTGCTCCTGCCTGCGGAGTTCCCCGAGAGGGCAAACTCTCCTGACAGCTCTGCTTTATGCCTTTATCCCCCCACGTTGCACAAACCCCGTGTCTGTGGACGCCCACCCTCCAAACCCCCAGCCCTGCAGCCCCGCCTGCCCCCAGATTCCCCTGAGGGGCTGCGGGATCCTGGTGCCCCCCTGCCTTTACCTGCAGGGATGTCTGGATGTCCTGGAGAAGCAGCAGGAGCCACAGTGCCGGTGCCAGGCTGCAGGCAGCCATCTGAGGTGGGTTCAGATGTCCCTGGCTCCCAGCATCGCAGGTGGCACGGCCGGGGTGCTCCTTCTGGATCCTGAGACCCCTCCAGGCTCCAGCCCAGCCTCGCTCCGTGCCTGTTCGCTCAGTCCAGGGCCATTCCAGCTGTTCAAGGCAAGCAGGGCACAGGCTTTGAGACTCGAGCGAGGTGAGAAAACAATTTAGAAAGGAGGGGGAAGGCGGGGGGGGGTGGGTGCTGCCCCTAGAAGAAACCTATAAAAAGAACAAACCCAAAGCGCCCCGGTGCCGGCTCCCGGCGCTGTCGGGTGTCTGTGGGTCGGGTGAGAGCGCCCAGGTTGCCCCTCGAGGCTCAGGGCTGGCTGTGCCGGCGGCTCCTGAGTCATCTGGGCTGCCCTCAGAGAGCACTTCACCAACCCAAACCGGGCCAGGCACGAGGCCAAGCCCTGCCCCATCCAGCCGCAGGTTTTTCAAGAGCCACGAGCGAGCCCCGGGAGAGTTCCCAGTAAGAAACGCTCATTTTTTTTCGGTGCAGTTGTTTCACTCCTGTTTGGATGAGTGGGTGACTCCACTAAGGTTTAGGCTTTACGTGTCGCCACTTAAAACACCGACATATCACAGACCATCCTCTTGGGAATCCTTCCCCTTTCCTCCAGTCCCACTGGAAACAAATTCCTCCTGCTGACAGTCATCCCTAGGGCTGCTACTCATAATTTTGCTCACTTTTATTTGTTACTCTGGATGGTTTGTGCTCTGGTGCCTGGAAAGATTTCAGTTGATTGAATGTGTCATGCAGCCTTCTTATCTGCCCTAGGAGTTTTGTCAGAAGTGAAGGTTAGCCACTTCAAAAAGAGCAGAGTGCCTTGAAAACCTCTCTGAGGTACACAGGAAAATCGTGACAATTTGAATTCTCACACGTCTGAGTTCGGGTTTAATTTTTTTTTTTTTGCTTAATGTTGTTGCTTCTCACCCTTATCAGCAAAAAGAAAACCAGGAGAAATGAAGGAAGACTGAAAGTTGGATAAATGATTATTTTACTAAAAACCCACAGCTCCCCCACTGCCCCACAAATGAGCACCAAAGGTGAGCATTCCACAGGGACCCTGAGTAAATATCTTCTTAAACTCACAGCTGTAACTCTCCTCTTTCTAACTAAATACCTGGATTTCTTTCTCCAGGATGCCACTGTACAAAACCCCAGGCATTTTCAGCACATGGCATGGAGGGTATTTGATGTGCAACTCCACCCTCCTCCCTTCCCTCTGTCAGGTAACTGCTCTCTTACCTATAAAAGCTGTTGGGGTAGATGTGCCTTGAAGGTCTAGAGACAGATAAGTACTTGAATGTCAGAGTATCACATCCTTGGTTTTCCCAGTTAAATAATGGGCTGGAAAACACCTTAATTTTCTGTAATAATATGCCATTAAGCAATTCTCCCAATCTATAAATGCAGTTTCAAATGACATATTGGTCAGGATTTGTCTTTTTTTTTTCCCTCCTGAGTATTTTTTTCTGCTCAGCCCCTATCTAAGCTCCTCTAGCAAAAGGACAGGCACCAATACAAGAGAGGTTTAAGTTCCACTGCTGAGGTTGGAGCATCTGATACAAAAACTAAGTATGTGAATACAAAAAAAAACCTGTGTGTAAAAGAGTTTCCCAAAACTGTCAGCAGGGAGAGTTTTCTGGCCTGTTTTCCAGATAAAACAAGACTGAAACAAGCACACCAAGCATTTTGTGTGTATATATATATATTTGCTCCTTTTTAATGAATGGTGTCAATAATTTTTCAACCCACTGGATGACTTCAATCAAATTTGGCTTAGGAGGCAATGCCATTAAGATTTACAGGGTTGTAAAGAGATGACTTGGATGAAGGAGAGGACTTGGATGAAGGAGATGACTTGGATGAAGGGACAGGGTGCTCATGACAAGCTCCCCGAGGGAGAGGCTGCAGGAGGAGATCAGTCCTCCTCAGAAGAAAGAATCCACTCATATGTCCAAAGGGAAACCAGGCTTCCAGCTGCCATTTTTCCTTGAACTTCTTATTCTCAAGCTCATTCTTGATTGAAGCAGATATTTTAAAGGGCAGGGAGTGGAAAGGGGGTTATTGTTGCTGCTGGCTTTTCAGACAGGCTGGTGCGATCAATGGAGAGGGTGAAGAGGTTGTTTCATGGGAACATCCCAGCCTGCACTTCCAGCTGAATGCAGTAATGTCAGACTTTGTGTGTTTTGATTTGAAATACAACAGAAGGGGCTTTCCAAAGGAAGCCCTATCAGTAACTGGAAGAAGCACCTCCATTTTATGGCGAGCCCACGCTGCTGCATTTCCTAGAAAATAGTCCCCTGTGTTAATATGGAAATTCAAAAAGGGCAGAACAAACAGAAGCAAACAAACAACCCCTGTTTCTCTGGTCTTCCATCAGGGGACAATGTCTGTCAGAGATAAGGGGAGGTCCCTCATGAGCATATTATTATTTATAATGTTTATTTGATTGCACGCATCTGTCTGTAAATATCTGCATCCCATTTTGCTTTGGGTGTTAAAAGGTAGCAATGCTCCAAGATAAGGGTTTTGGCATTTTGTATTTTTAATTTGTTTAGTTAATAGCAAGCTTAGGTATTTTTTACATCGTGTATCTGATCAGTGTGAGCTGCTTGGAGCGGAGAGAGATCAGAGAAGGTCCTGTTTCAAATGCCACTTGATTCCTGGATGCAAGAGGATGCAGAGATCCAACTAAGCCACGAGGGAAAGTCCTCACCACGTGCCTAAAGCATCTCTTCAGCTCTGCCTGTTCACGAACAGTGAGAGCCCAGCAAAGGAAGCAGCCATGGAATATTTTAGAAGCAGCACTGGAGCACACGTGCTCAAGCCAAAGTACTCAGGACATTTTCTAATTTTGAAGTGGCTGGTTTTAGTCTCATGTTGTACTTTTAGCATGGTTTCTCCTGGGTTTAAAGGTGTGTGTTCAGGTAATTTGGATCCAGCTGCATCAGAGAAAAAACACACCGAGAGAAGCATCATCTCTGAACACTTGTCTGACACACAAAAGAGACCATGAAGTTTAAAAGGACACATTTTAAAACACCTTGTCTAAAATCTGTATTTCAGTGGCTCTCAGTGTTGGTATTTGGAGAATTGCAGTGTGCTGAGAAAAAGCATCACCAAGTTCTTGCTCCTCAGCCAGGTGGAACCAGACCCTGAAACTCCGTGGGCTTCAGGAGCATCAGGAGCACCAAAGGCAGTGCTTGTTGGGACCCAAGCCGTGCACTCTGGGGGTACAAATTAAAAAAAGAGAAGAGAAATGAAGGCATTTCCTGCAATAAAAACCACAGAGAATCTCACGGTTAAAAGAGGGAAAACAACAACAAAAAAAAAAAAACGAAGAAAGGAAGAAACCCGAGAATTACTTTCTTAATTTCTTTGTGCATTGTGGGGGAGCTCTGCAGGGTGACACTGTGCTAAAACACACAGGAACCCAACGATTTTGGGCATTGCAAGGGAAGCCAATGGACTGAACTTCCCTGGAAATCTTTCCACAGCCCACAGAGGACAGGCAGGAGGGAGGGCAGCACTGGTGCAACGTGATCTCACTGATACTTCACGTAGTGAGGGAGCCATTGGGGTTCTTTAGTATTTAAAGTCTTTGTCAATCCATTTATTTATGGCCCTTCAGCCACCCTGCACTGTGTTAAATGCATTCCAGGTGCTCTTGAGAACATGACCTGCAGAGCTGTTACTGATTCAGCAATTTACCTCAGTATGTTTGTCCACTGTCATCAGCAAGAAAGGTGGGTGTGAAGGTCTTGTTGTCCACTTGTTGAAATGTAGCAATGGCTTAAAACAAGAGTTGCCATCAGGAAGAAAGAAAGGTTATCGTGTCAATTTTCAATTAGATTTCTTTTACAGATGTCATTTATATAAATTTTATGTGGGTAACGAAGTTCTCATAACTGTTTTTGTTATCTCAACTAATACTACTGTCTTACCTAAAGTGATAAAATAACTAATGTAACACAATAAATGCGTATAAAATGACTTTTTCTGGCCCATGGTAGCTTCAAAACTAAAGTACATTTTGAGTCAGACTGAAAAATGAGAAGAGCTGACAGAGAGCTCAGTTCTCTCAAGAAAGGCTTGGCTTCCATGAAAGAAACCAAAACCATATCACAGAATTACTATGCCCACAGGCTGGGAGAGAGAGAGAGAGAGAAATGACCTTAGATGAGAGATGACATCATGTCTGTACTTTCAGTAATTGTGAGTGCAGCTTCTGGAGGGTGGGATAGTTACACATGGTCATTCTCCATGAGCAAAGCTCTTGGTGGAGGGAATTGGGAAAGCACCAACAGTTTCAATTCTCTACATTGAAATCCAAATTTGAAAATAAAAAAGACTGACCAGGGGGTTAAAACACAGGAGTGGGACTCATTTAATCCCCAGGACTGTCACAGATGTTTTGGGTAACTCATATCCTTTCTTGATACTCGGGTTCTCCTCATCTAAAAGCTGAGTTTAAAGCTGACCTAATAACAGAAGCAAGATGAGCTTTCCTTTGCTGACACAAACAAAAGAAAGCCGGGAAATATCAAATCATTTTTGTGAAAGAAACAAATGGGAAGATTTTCAGGATGCAGTTTTTTCAAAGAGCGTAAACTTTTATATCTTTTTTAAGGCTATAGCTGAGCATCTCAACCCTGACAATTTGGGGTGTTATTTTCCTCTTCCCAGCAGCAAGGTTTGCTCTGCAGAACCAGTGGAATACACCAGCTGAAGGGGAAAACCAAATCCTTATGTTTGGTCTGCTACTACTCAGGAAACTGGTGAAATGGAGACTTTTAACTCCCAAGAGAAGGGGCAGAACTTCTGTTGTGTTTTCAGACTCAGGGCACACTGAAAACAAATTCTTCTGGGCTTTGAAAACACAAGTCCCAAAGAGATGAAAGCCCCCCAAAATCAAAGTTTGCAAATGATTCAAAAAGTGAGTTCGTGCCACGCTCAGATGTTTCACCTGAGGGTTCTGGAGACAGTCATTGCCTGAGATGCTGATAATGAAACAGAAGCCATAAATCAGCACTACACTCATTCAACACTCCTGATATTAATTCTTACAGAGTACTGACAGCAAGAAACACCTGATCCTGAGATATCACCAAAATTATCTTAAAATAGTCAAGAGAACAAACACAAACACCAATGTCAGTCTGACACCGGTTCGGAGCAGATGGGAGCTGGGTTTTAACTGCATTTCTCTGTTCCAACCAATCACAAATGCACCATTTATTGTGTCTCATTTTCTAATTAAGCAAAGCTGGATTTCCCACCCCATGAATCAGCGTTACATACGTGCAATAGTCAGGAAGGGGAACTAAACCACTGGTTTTACCATCAAAGCATCAGGCAGAGAGAACTGGCACAAACGAGCACACACTGAGTCAGCCTTCAGCAGGAGACACAGCTGCCCAGGCTAAACCAGCATGTTCCCAAGAGCCAGGAATGGGAAAAAATATAAATCCAGGCCAAGCTTACCTCCAGGATCAGGAAACAAGCTGTCCCAAAGCCCTGGGCCTGCACAGCAACATCCAGTATCTGTATTAGTTTGTGGCTTAGGACAGCCCTGGATGTCCTGGGATGTTACTGGGAACTCTTCCTTTCCACGTTTCGACCCCCAGATCAGCAAAGATCTCCCTGGAAATGCTGATCCCAGCACTGGCTCCATCACAGAGTCCACTGTCCAAGTGCTGAAGCTGCTTTAACACGGGAGGAAATGCAGTTTTCCAAGCAGTAAATAGATGAGTTCCCTCACAATGCACCCCCAGGTGACACGTCAGTCACCCTCCTGCATGGAAGGGTGTGTTACCTGGGGTTTATCTGATTAAATAAATAATGTATTTGAAATAAAAATAACAGTGAATGAACCAAATCCATTCTCTCGAGTTATTCCCAGAAATATATCTGAGGAAGGAATTTCTGTTTCAGAAAACTCAAGGCAAAATAAAACATCAATTTTATTGTTTTTAGGCAAGAAAAGCAAGATCAGTCTATAAAGTTCAAACTAATCACGCTATGTGATGTATTTTGTTTTGGTACAATTTAAAAACTCCAAAATGGTTTTTTTTGTTTATCTCCCAATGGACTTGGAAAAGCAGAGGCAAGCACAGTTTGCAAACACTTTAAGGCTTTAACATTATCTAGCTTGTTAATGAATAAACTCTCATTTTATTTTAACATGTTTTTCCACTCTCACAGTTACTCTGACGTACCCTGAAGCTACACACATTGCACTGAAAATAAATAGGATTTTTAAAATTTTAACTAAATTACTGAGGAGCTCAGGTTTAAGGCACTATTCAGTGTCACGTATCAAACACCTGGAAACCAACAGATTTGTGTCACTCCACTGAACCCGGCCCTTCCCAGGCCACTTCCTCCCCTGCCATTCAGAGCTCAGTTCCACTGGTGGTGACTCAGCCGAGGTGGCAAACGCTGCCATGGCTGTTCCTCCTCATCCTGGACACATCCCTTGAGGCAGCCCCAGGTGGGACAGCTCTCAGGAGCAGCTGTGAGAGGCAAAAAAAGAGCAGGGAACCAACGCACCGGACCATCCGAACCCTCACACGCGCGCACCGCTCACCGCGCGAGCGGGGAAACCACGGAAAAATCTGTTCCCAGTTTAATTTTCATCCAAATGGCTTCGTCTGGGAGTTGTTCCCACGTGCTGGGCCCACCCCTCCCCCTGGGCAGTCACACTGATGGTTCACAGCGTCGATGCCGCCTGGTTTGATCCGGGAGCTGCTCCCCGGTGCCGCTTGCTTTGCCTCCTCTGAGGGGAGGCACTGCTGGACCTGGGACGTGCCAAGGGGGGCAGGAGCTCCTCGGTTCTGGTGCCTCTTGACACTCTGGGCAGCGAGTCCTGGAAGCCAAAGGAAGAAGGTGTTAATCAGAGAGTGCCACAGTGACTTTTCTTTGACGAAGAGTGGTGAGCTGAACAGGCTTTTGCCTCTGTTCAGCTCCGTTTGCTTTCTTGTCCCTGTGCACACAAGCTGAGAACAAGGAAAATGTTTCCCAGTGGTGATAAATTTTCATTTGCTCAGCCCAACCCTTTAGAGGTGGGACAGCAATTTCCACCTGTGCAATTCCCAGCATCTCCAGGGACTCTGGAAGCTGTCCTTACCAGGTGAGGATGGGGAGAAGGCCTCTCTTCCAGGGAAGATCGCAGATCCAAACTGCTGAGCCTGGGGTTGCTTGGAGGGATGATGTTTTCCCAGCCAGCCAGGCAGTGCTGTGAAAAGAGATGGGAATGCTGTACCCTTTTTTATCCATTGTGGCCTAAATGTGGTTCTAAATAGTAACTTCTGCACAGGGAAGTTTTAGCAATTATTAAAGTAATTAATTAATTTTTGAGGAGCTTTATATGACTAACAGGAAAAGGATGAAATCTCTCATGAAGCAAAACTGTCCCTCCCCTCTTCCACCTTTCACTGGCTGATTACTTCTAAACTGATCTCCTGCTTTGTGAACTCAAGCACCCGACCTCTCTGAACCTGTCTCGACTGACTCATCCAGTTCCCTAAACCTCAAAACTCAGTGTCCTCCCACCTCTTCCCTGGAAATCTTCAGGCCAGGGTCAGATTAGCAATACTGCCTAGCACTGGTTACTGGCTGGAGTACAGGAACAGCTCTCCAGTAACAGCTTGAAATCCACCCCTTGCCACCACGGATGACACACTGTGTATGCTTCATGGATGCTCTCCTTCCAGACCTCCTGACACCTGTGGAAGGAGACACAGGCACTCCTACGTGTGGATCATGGTGTTGAGTCAGTCAGATCTGCCCCAGAAGGACACATCTCCAGAGGGTGCTTTCCTTTGTGCAGTGTAAAGTACTGGAAATTCGTCATACACTCCACAAAGGCACTAACTCACAACACACCAATGGTTTTCCTGGCTCAGTGACACACGTCAGAAATTTTAGTGGAAACCCCTTGCCAGGGCAATGAGTCCCAGATTTTCTTTCCCTCTTAAAGCAATGCCCAGCCTGGGCTGTGCCATCAGCCAGAGCAGCAACTCACCGAGGGCAAGGCCAGATCGTCTGCTGGCTCAAAGCTCCTCCTGCGATGGGCCTTGTACTTGTGGGCAGGCAGAAGGGTATTCCTGGGAATGCTGACCCTGGAAGCACACAAGGGAAGTCAGTGCCTGCACCTCTGACGAGGCAGAGGAAATCTGCCTTCCCCACCCAGAATCCAAGGGTCTAATCCCAAACTGAACCAAGCAAAACAGTTTTGGAATCAGGGCATTAGACACTTCACATCCACATTCACATTCTGGAACAAATTTGGATTAAACAGGCATTTCTCATTGACCTCAAAACTGTTTGTGCTCATGGGTAAGATCAGTAAGGCCTTTCTAAGCCAGATGTATCTCTGCCTTGAGAACAGCAACCTTCTACAGAGCTGCTGTGACGCTGTTTTCTCCTTCACCTGACCAGCTTTTTCTTCCCTGTTGTTTCCTTGAGTTCTGCATATCACAAGGCAGTCATTCCTATTTACCTGACATGGGCTGGCTCTTCCAGTGTCCCTGGGGGCTGGTGGGCACGTGGGATCTTACACACAGGGCAGGCAGATTCTGGATCCACGGGGACAGTGAACAGGCGCTGGTTTAACCGGTAACAGTAAAAACCTGCACAGAACAACAAACCCCCAAACTTCATAGTCCTTGTTTGTCAGAAGGTTCCTCAAACCAGCCAAACAAAGCTGTGTTCTACCACAGTGCCACACCTGCATTCTATAAGAAGAACTGCCTTTCCTCAAATATCTTTTACATTTCCTGTTCCCAAGTAAGTTCCTAAAAAGCAAAACCAAAACTTCAACCTCAAGCTAAAAACAGAACATTAGCCAGTTACAAGAAACCCTGACAGATTAACAGGACAATGATTGAGTGGAGACTCAAGTGCCTTTGGAGTAGGAAGTTGAATCTGGTTGAAGAGCTGCAGCTGAAATAACATTCTTCCTTGTTTGCATGATGTGCTGCTCTCTCAGGATGACAAAGTTGTTTTTTCACAGAAATTGGAGTAGGAAGAAATGTGATCTTACACTTATGGGAACCGGTTATCGAATCTGCTTCTTGTTCAGGACCGGTGCAATCCAGAGCCTTGGGCCTAAAGAAACACACACAGAGATCAGCTGGTGACAGGAGGGCAGGTGCTCTGAGCAGCCCTGCCTTTTCCAAGCACACATTTATGCCTGGCAGGTAAATAAAGGCCCTCAAAGCCACCCTTACAATGTCCCACTCCAATCAGACCACGGCTCCCTTCCCCATTCCCACTTACTCCAGGTCCTGCTCATCAATACAAGCTTCCCTGTTGGCCTGTCGGAACTGCTGCAGCTCAGCAAAGTATTGCTCAGGTTTTTCTGTTACTGAAGACTTTGTCTCAAGGAGCCCTGAAAAGACCAAGGAGAGAAGAAAGTGCAGGGATTCATCAAATTCTGGAAAGCACCAAAGGCAGCCTCACAAAAAACAGTCAAAACAAAATAATGGTAATGAGAAGAGCAGGCCATCATGTCAAACCAGAGATTAACTGTGTGGTTTGGCTTCCTTTTTCATTCCAGTTATTTGGTGTCCTCTCTGACCCCATTGGGCTTTACCATTTGCTGCCTGCATTCCCATACCACTGCCACTTCACCATTCCAGGGAAGCACAGGTCACGTCTGGACAGGAAAGAGCCTCTGACAGAGCTGCAGCCCCTCTGCTGAGGGACTTCTTCATGGACTTGAGGACAGCAGCCCCACTACACCTCACCTTAGGGGGGTCATCAGCTGTGTTTATGCTCTTCATACCACCCCACCCTGCTGAGAGCTTTGCTTCAGGGTTAGGATTCACCTGCAATCCAGTCATAGCCCAGGAAAGGACGGGCAGACCAGCTGCCCACCGGTGTGGCATCTTCTTCGGGGTCAGGCTGAAAAGTCACATGACGAGCTTTCTTCTGGGAAAACAATTCACAAAGACTCCTTAGTCACCCAGCAGGACAGTCAAAGGTACAGCTGAGGAGACAACTGGCAACTGCTCAAATGGGACAGCTATGACTTACTTTGAGGCTGGATTCTGTCTATGCCTCTACCAGTGACTTGCTCACCAGCCCTTTGCCTTCTCAACAAATAAAACAGAAAGAGGGGACTTGCCTAGGGATAAGGCAGGATTTTTCAGAGCTTTAAACAAGGTCCCTCATCTCACACCCCCAAAGATCAGGCTGCGCTGGAGGATGATCAGGGGCAGAGCCTGCCCTTGCTACCCAGGGGAACAAACTCTGGAGCAGCAGCACTGCCCCTGGCTGTTCTCCCTCAGCACAGGGATCCCATGAGCAAACACAGCGAGTCTCACAGTCAAGTGGGACAGTTTTCTGGTCTTCAGTTCACTGCCTGAGGAAAGCAGGGCCTGAACAAACTGTCAACAGCCCCTGGCTGCTACACCCGGGAACACTTCCAGCCCCAACTTCCCACCTACACAGTGGGAACAGGGTAAGTCATGTTCTCCTGGCCCTTCTTCCCCATCCTTCTGTTGACCTGGGAAAATAAACAAAGCACTGGTTTGACATTTACCTTCAGCTCTTTGGACTGGGACGTCACCAGGACTGATTTAGGTACTGTGGGTTCCCTGCTGACCATGTGCTGCTCCCTGGGCTCCTCATTTTGCACTCTGCTCAGTGATGGGTCTGGTTGATTCTTCTCATGGAAACCCTGGAGCAGAGGATGTTTTCTGTTCTCTCCAAGTCCCAGCAGGAAGGATTCCTTCTCTGGGCTTCCTCGAGCATGGCCATCCCCATCCACTCTGGAGGCTTCTCTGCCGCATGGAATGATTGCAGACACTGGAATAACATTCTTCTCTTTCCCAGGAAAGCTGGAATCCAAGCCTGTTGCTTCCTGTGCCTTTGCTTGTTGTTGCTGTCCCCCTCTGGCCCTGCTGCTGTGTTTATGAGGTGAACTGAGGGCTGCTCTGGCTGTGCAAGCTCTGGGTTCCACAGACACCACCACTCCAGGCTCAGCTGTGGCCTTCACAACACCCACCTGATTCTCCTTCTGTAAGGACAGAGACCCTCATTACACATGGCATCAATACAAATACCTCTCATTAGGACATTTTTCACTCACTGAGAGAAGATGAACCTCTCATTCTGCTCTGCTCACCCCTTTAAATTCCTGTGGGATAAAAAGGAAAATCCTAACATTGAGTCACAAGATGTTTTTATTTGGAGAAGAAAGAGATCCACTTCCAGCTAAAAGAAGCTTTTCCCAACTTGAGGAACCGCAAAACTTTCGGCCCTTGTGCTTAGATGAAACAAAAGGATTTTTTTCCCCAATGTTCATTCCTGTGTCAGATGAAGAAACCTGCATTTCTTAGGCAGGGACTGAATTCTTTGCAAGGAGAACAGATTAAGACCACAGGATAAACAACAACCAAAGGGCAGCTCTTTTTCTAACAGATTCCACATTCCACTTTCTACCAGCTCCTCCGTGTCCATGTGACTCCTCTCCCACACCACAGGCAGAGCTGCTGTCCCACAGGGCCCATTTGCTTCCCAGAATTTCTAGCACAGACACCACACATACCCCTCTCCTGGGCCAGGGGACAGAGCCCTCAGCAGCTGTGCTGCCAGGAACAGATGCTGGAAGGAGTGGCTTGCTGGGAACTCTTTTTCTGATCTCCTCCTGCTTTGTTTTGAGCCTTTGTAGAAGGTCCTGGTTGGCCTGACGCAGCTTCTTCAGGAGCTCCAAGTCCATCCTAAACGACCATTTTCCTGTAAAGCCAGAGGAAAGGGGGAACCACACAAAAAGAAGGATTAAGCGATGAAGTAGACATGGGACAAACCACTTTCAGGGGATTTTTCCTAAAACCCACTTACAGCTGTTGAAATGCTGGAGTGTTGATCCTTTCTCCTGAGAAATCAGCCAAAGTCTTTATGCTAAGAACCAGCACCACCTCATGCTTCTCTCCCCTCGGCTGGACCATCAAGTATTTTGCACTCAGAAACTGGGAGCTGACTGAACAGAGACAAGAAACTCTGACAGAGCAAACAGCACACGTGAAAAAGTCACATCAAAAAGCTAAACGAGAGACATTTGGTTCAGAGGCTGTTAATTAGGATATCCTTAGGCAATCCTGCTTTAATGGTCTTTTGAAACATCAAAATTTGTATTTTGATAAGCACAGGATATTCGTAAATTCAAAATATGATTAATCACTATGAAAGCATTTGCTAAATCCAAAAGAAATACTGAGTCAAGACTGTCCTCCATGTCCCCCAGGCAGGAAGGCTCCAAAAAGGCTCAATTATGACTCAGGACAAGGTCTTGGGCAATTCCAATCCCATAAATTAATTACATTAAGTCCCACAAGGGGGTGAAAAGGAGTTAACAGATAAACAAATAAAGTCTAGTTTGACTGGAGAGCTCTCACCCTGTTCAACACCTTTACAACATCACAAGCTGCTCTAAATTTGCAGAAAGTGGATTTTTAAATAAAGCAGAAGCAAACCCTAAAGACAAACACCCACATTGCTTTTGACCAGACCGATAAATTACGTTCTCAATAAAACCATACGGTTTTCTAGGACCTTTTGTTCCGAAGGATCCCTAAACCCTTCTCCGAAGCTCATCTGACTTGTTTTTGTGTTTGCTCCCTCGGCAACCGGCCATGGAGAATCAAATGTGGTACAAGGGCACCAGGAGGAGTGGAGAGCAGCGTTAACAATCAACAAACTACAACATTCTCTCCTTGCTGCAGCAAATAAGTGAGAGGCGCAGTACGGGACAGAAAACATAAATGTCACTCTTGAGGCACTAAATTTGAGAAAACTTGAAAAGAAACATTAGTTCTGGCAGCCTTCACAGGACACAAAGCTAACAGCTTGGACGAGCACCCTCTCACCGCTGCTCACGGGAGAGCAAACGCTCCGAAAATAACATCGGTCGGGGGGCTTTCTGGAAGGGTTTTTACCAGGCGATATCCACCCCTGGCACAACCTACAAGAAGCTGCTGGCCCTCCGTGCTCATCACGGGGGGGACTCTCAAGCTGATGCCACACGGCCTGAGCCCTCCGTGCGGAGCAGCTCCGCTTCCCGCGGCTCAGGGTAAGGAGCGGCTGCCTCGGGAATTGAGGACCGGGAAGGAGCTCCCTGCGTGGAAGTTGTTCAGCCCCGCGGGCCGCTCCCAAGCAGGGGCGCTGCTTCGGCTCTCCCGCGCCCACAAAGAAGGGGAGGGAGCCCCGGGCGTCGCAGAATTCCCCTTCACCTTCCCGAGGCCGGGCTGGCACCGGAGCGGAGAGCGGCGAGCAGCGAGCAGCTCCCTCCCCCCGGCCCTCCCTCGCAGCGCGGGGACCCGCCCGTCCCGCCGCCTTCCCAGCCCCGTCCCGCCGTGTTCCCCCGTCCCACCTGCGCCCGCCCCGCCGCTCCGGGGCCCGGGGGGGCCGGTCCGGGGATCCCCTGCCGTGCCCGTCCCGCTGTAGCCGCCGGGATTCCCCCGGGCGGCCCCGCCGAGGCCGTTCGTGGGCCGGGCCCGCCCCGCGGCCCTCCCGGCATGCGCGGGGCCGGCACCGCCCGCCTGAGGGGGGGCCGCTCCCTTCAGACTTGAGAGAGCGCAGCGCTCTGACCCGAATATTTGCTGGCTGTGGCTTCCTCCGGTATCCTCGAGAAATCGCTGATTCAGTGCTGGTAGTTTTAGTGCGATTAAAACTGTGTGTGAAGATGACACGCTGCTGCCCCCGAGGGCTCGGGGAGACCTCATCGCTCTCTACAGCTCCCTGACAGGAGGGGGAGCCAGGCGGGTCGGGCTCTCCTCCCACACAACCAGCAGCAGGACAAGAGGGCACGGCCTTAAGCTGCGCCGGGGAAGGTTCAGGTTGGACATCAGGAAGAAATTCTTTCCAGAGAGAGCGATCGGACATTGGAATGGGCTGCCCAGGTGGAGTCACCCTCCCTGGAGGTGTTTAAGCAGAGACTGTGGCATCAGTGCCATGGTCTGGTAGGCAAAGTGGTGTTGGGTCAAAGGTTGGACTTGATGAAGTCAGAGGTGTTTTCCAACCTCATTGATTCTGTGAAAGGCAGTGGAAGGATTGTAGGAAAATTTGTTTCCAAAGTCGAGAACACTGGACTTAAGGGAACATTAATGCTAATGGCGCTTCAAACACTCTTCTCAGGACTTTTACAATTTCTGCCCCCTCCCCAACCCCCTGTGGGGGGCCTTTGTCATGTCTGCAGGACTTATCTTTTTCTCTGGAATGCAGGAGAAAACATCTAAACTCTCTCTGGGGAAAGATGCCTCTTCTAGGCAGGAAAGCTTTCTAAAGCAAACCAAGCTCTGATCTCCTCAGCATAATTCTTCAGGAAGGGTTTTCTAACCTTGCAGTCAGTCTCAGATAGTTAACTGCTAACTATCAAAGTAAGAGCACAGAAGGTCCCTGGTGTCAAACATGCACTTCAGTACCCCATGGAACACACCTGAAATAGATGTACTTACACTGGAAGGCTTTGTGTCACAACACGCAGGACACGCCAGGAGAAATGTTTGTTACAATTCATTTTTATTTTGGTTTCCATTGTTTACAGCACTGTTACAGGACTAATTCATGCAAATTCATCACCTTAAATACAGCAGAGAATAAACTCGCTGGTAAGAGTATTTTGAAGAGCTCCATCAACGCAACAGGAAAAGTAGCAGCAATAAGATAAAAGTGCATTTAGCTGACCTTCTTTAATGGGAGTCTGGGGGAGACTGTTTTTGGAATTACCTGTTTCACAGATTAGTTCAGCCTTCCTTATTAAAATCAGAAGAGAACAGCCTCCTCCTGATAGTGTTCATTCCTCCACCACTCTGAATTAAAGAAGTGCAGCTGTAATGTGTTTCAGAGGAATCCAGCTCATAGGCCTGTCTGTTAAAAGTTTGATTCTCTTTCATTTGGGCTTCTAGGGACAAGGGTTACACACATATTAAAAGTTCTTCTCTCCCCTGTTAGCAGTTTTGCTTCTGAAAAACTCCAAGTGGTTCTTTCCCCCGTTCTGCAGGTTGTGTCAGCTCTGCAGTGAGAACACACCACCCAAAGCCGAGTAAGAGGCACGAACAGCACCAAGACTCCGGGTTCCAGGAACCAACCAATCTCTTTTCCCTTTACAGATAAGACACTGGCTTAAAGATAAGCTCATTTATCAGATTTCCCCTAAAGGTCTGCTGAAGAGATGCTGACAGGTCTTCAAAAGCAAGGTCAGCATTTCAAGTAGTCACGAGCTGCTGAGCAATAGTACATCACCCTCTGCCTCTACCTGGCACCGACAGTTGGTGTATGAGGGATGTGCTTAATGTTTTAACTCAACAGAAGAATAAATAGCTTATTATAACAGTGCATGTGATAGCTTGAGAGACCAGAGATCCAAATTAATTCAAACACTACCTCCAGCAGAGTAAGAAGTGATCCACTTACTCCAGTGTACTTCACCACAAGCCCAGAGCACACACTTCCAGAGGCAAGGACTCAGATTTCTTTCTTGCTCATTCTCAGATCTGATCCAAGCTATATTTATGTCCTGGTGGCTGCCCGAGGAACCCAGCCAAGGCCAGTGAAGCCTTCTGATGAAAAGAGCTTTTCAGTTTGAGCTGGAGTCAAGGCTATCTGCTGGAAGGGAGGGGTTTGTTTCCTTTCTGTGTTCTGGGCACATAAATCTCACCACCAGCTCCTACACAATCAAGATACTTCCAGTCTTACTGCAAATCTCAGAACAGCCTTACCTAAGATGTACTTACTGACATTTCACTATTTTTACTCCCTCAAGTATCAGGCAGCTTCTTTCTGGAACTTCCATGACACAAGAAACAGGGGACTTGTCACAGGCACATATATTCACACCTGAGCAGGAACAAGAAATCCTAAGGCCATTTTCAAGGGAAAAGTCTCATTGTCAATAAGAACACTCCACTGCTTAGTAGTTCTGAATGCAGTCCGTATTCTATGTGTGATGCTGAACAGATTTAGGTTGTCACTAACCCCAGAACTACAGGATCTGATTCTGGATTCCTCAAGCATTTTGTGGACAACAAAAAGGTTATACCCAACACATGGCAAAATACTGACCCACAAAGAGGAAAAGAAACTTTCCAAACAACAGAAGAAACATATCCTACTACTCCTAAAATCAGCGAGAATTTCTTCTCTTATCAATTTCAACAGGAAGAGACTCAAATCCTTACAATTCCTAAATCTTATATTCCAAATTCATAACTGCTTCAGGGCAAAACTCAACAATTCATTTCATCTATTTGCAAATAAAGAATGTCTTGGGGGAATGGGGGTGGGGGGAGAAGTTGCATTAACCCATTCTTGCCCTGGCATGAACTACAAGGGCCACAACTCCCCCCACCCCTGAGGAGCTGTACCTGCCAGCCTGTCCTCATACTTTTAACAGAAGAGAAACATCATCAGATCCCATCGCTGCCCGCACTGCGACATCCTGAGGGAACTCTACATGGAGCAAAATCTCTTACAGCGTGTGATCCACGTGCTGTTCTTGTGGCCAGAGAGTGGTAATGGAATTCCAAAGGCCTGCTTCCAGAAACACAGCTGTGCATTTCCAAAGAAAACCCACATTCGTTGACTTAGCTCGTAAGGCAGTTCATTACATTCTGTCAACTGGCTTTTCCTTCCTAGTTTTCTTCCTTAACAAGCTGCCAAATTAGCAGCACTATCTCCTTCACAGGAACTAGTTCTGTCTTTGCAAACTATTTGTCCGTGACAGGAAATGGGCCAGACTGTTATTAAAAGAGCTCTTAGGAGGAAGAAACTAACTCCAAAGCCACTAATCTTACCAAAGCAAAATCTTAATCCCTCTTTCTCTGGAAGAGGATGGGTTTTGTTCAGAGGTTTAAGCATAATGACAGCAATAAACCTTTCTATGAAGGGACACGGGGATTCTGTGTCAGGTTCTAGAATAACAGAATATTAACCCAGGAGACAGGCCTGTGTGGGCTATAAATGCATTGTGAAACCACCATCACGTCTGTGTGCATGGGACCTGTGCTCAGACAAAACAGCTGCTTGTCACGCAACCCCCACCTGGGGCTTGGAACTCAAAAGCTCTGCCTCTATGTAGTAAAACAAATAAACACCATAAAGAGGTGTCAGAATAACTTTTTAACCCGATAAAGATTTTTCTTGTTTGCTTTAAGTTTGTTTAAAGCAAAAAGGAAGTGCAGTAAAAGCCCCCTGTAAATGTATGAAGCACACATTCCTCCTGAAGTAGCCTGGTCTCAAAGGAAGGAAAAAGAAGAGTTATTAACAGCTAGTGTTTAGAGGTGGGACACAGAACGGGGAAGCAGAATCCTATTGTTCACACAGCCACTGGAAACACAGCAATAGGCTCTTGCTCATTCCCTTTAGGGAATTCCATCACCCACCATGTTCTCTGCAGTAATTAAGAGAGCACTGAAGGGAAACTCTTTTTTTTTTCTCTCTTTCCCACACTATCTGCTTTGCTGCAGGTACTGATGTGTGAACATGTTGAGTTCGCTGTCCAGCCAACCCGCTTTGTTCCTGCAAGGACAGAAGGTCTTTGTTAGGTGAAGGAAACAGCTCTTAAGCCACTCAGAAAGAAGTGCCACTAAAATGAGCACCCAGCAAGGCATGGAGTGCCAGACAACCTCTCCAAAATGCTGCTGCCATTCCTCAGGTCAGGAATGTTTGCCTCTTAACAGGCTTTGAGGTTCAAACTGAGATCTTGGACACAACTTCACACTGATCTTACTGTGTAGGTAAGGAATGTTTGAAAAAAGCTTCCTGACAGCTTTTGCAGGGTAAAGAAATCAGCACACAACTCTGTACAAAGGTGAGGGTGAGACTTTTTGCATGATTTTGTAACAGCCTGAAGGAGGTTGAGGAACTGTAATTCCCAACAAATCGAAAACAGGAAGGAAAAGATGTTTTGTGAGACAGAAGCTTAAAATGATTGTCCATGGGAAAGTACCATGTGAAAGGGAACACAAGTTGGTAGGGAAAGGTCTGCACATCAAACACGATGACAGACTGAACTCAAAACTACAGCTCATCTGAACATCAGAATGTTCAGGAGAAACAATCATATGGAATAATCAAATCTCACCTGAGCAGTTTTGCTTTGCTCTGCAGTGAATCCAGAACTTCGATTTTTTTATTCATGGCAGAAATTTCCTGCTCAAGGTTCTCCCGTGTGACATCCACTTGCTGGCACAAATGAGCAAACGTTCCAGCAAGCTCCCTAGGAAACAAGAAGAGCTGGGTGTGACAGAAAGTAAGATCAAGCAGCAAAGTCAAGGACTAAAGCCCTCTGATGTGTAGTGCTGATGGTATCACGACTCAGATCTTTATCCTTCCATTTCTGCACAAGAATATGTCAGGGCATCTTGATTTGAGACACGGAAATACAGTAAGACCAATGCTTAACAGCACCCAACCACTACAGGTTCAAAAAAAAGAGTAATATTATTTTAACACACCTGTCATTACACATTTTTAAACGTGGAATTACGAATGAAGACTTAACAAGGAACAGCATAAAAAAAACCAA